AAAACAACGAAAGGAAGTAAAATATTATCCTGCAACGAGTCAGCACTGTAATGAAATTCATGTCTTTGACTAGCTAATTAAAGAGGACCACTAACCTCAAAGCATTACTGTTACATTGCTGCAAAATGGATTGTCGTCTAGTCAAATTTACTTTCTTAAAAGGATTGTATTTCAAAGTTCAAACTACTTGTCATGGAGTACAAAAAATTGTTTTCTTTAAAAGGCTTCCTCCCATTTATTCACTTTTTTCCTTTATGTCTGACTTCCCACAGACAACCATGGACAAAATGGCAGGTGATCTACTCCCAACTCTCTTTGAATTCAACACAAACCTGCCCACTGGTCGTCTATTACTCTAAACTATGGACAATCACCAGTTTTACATTGAGAAATAACTTGGATCTTGCCGTCTAGTCAGCAGCCAGCTTGGAGTTTGAACTGAAATAGGTTTTGAATAATTTACAGCATTTTGAAGATGGTTCCAATAACTGTAATCAAGTCTATTGTGGGAATGTTAGTTTGTACAAGACACTGGTTAAGCTGCAGTTGAAGTACTGCTCTCAATTTTGGGTGCTCCATTATGGAATGGATGTCAGCTCCATGTGGATCTGGGTCTGCACATTTGTATAGCGCCTTTCACGTCAGGAGGACGTCTCAAGGCGTTGGACAATGAGTATTTCGGACTCGAGCTAGGGTTCGGGATCAAGGAGGATAGGGGGCAGGGGGGAAGGAGTGTAACCGAAGACACAGTCGAAGAGGAGGGTCTTGAGATATGTGTTAAAGGAGGCAAGGGAGGGGGCAAGGCGGAGGGGCTGTGTGATGGAGTTCCAGAGGGTGGGGGCAAAGTAGCTGAAGGGTCGCCTTATATCCCCTGTGTGATGGGAAGCCAGTAGTGTCGGGTGAGAGTGGGGTGATAGGGTCATGGAGCCTGGTTTGGGAGAGGACATGGGCTGCGGAGATGGAGGATTTAGTGGATATTAAGAATAGAAGATACAGCAGAGATTTACTAAAATGATGCCAGGTATAGTTGTGTGGAGAAGCTGGAAAGACTGGAACAGATATAGTGAAGTGAATAGCCAATATAGATTTTCAACATTATAGTTTTCATTAGGTAAATAGAGTGATTATTATTATATTTATTACCAATTCAGTAATAAAGGGCCATAAATTGAGGCATCATTAAGATAAGATTAAATATTGAATAAGGAACAAATGTTTGAGGTTAATATAAGAAGCACCATTAAAAAAAGTTACAAATTACTACCAAGATAAGTCTTAGGTGAGAAGTATGTTTGGTTTCTAAAGCAAACTAATCCTAACAATATTTTTTAATCTAACAGGCGAGTAGCAATGGATCCTATTACACCTACTGACAAGCAGTATATATGTACTACTTGTGTTAACCGATATCCACATCAACAAGCAATCTCAGCTATAAACACCACAGGCAGATGTTGTGTTTGACATAGATGACTGCTTCAGGGTTAAATGCTCTGAGTAAGCTTTGCTATTCCTCCCCCTTCTTCTATCCATAAACTAACAGAGTGACATTTACCTTCATACACAATTATGTTAGTCATAGACATCCAGGATGAATGGGCTGTGTCACCTCAGCAATGAACTCCACTTTAGCCCAAGAGTAAACACATTTCTCCCACATCAGCGAATGCTAGGGCATTAGCAGTTTGCTGTGATTGATTGTGAAGAAACCATTGCTGTGAAACACATGCGTAGCTCAGTCCTTTATCACAGTGAGTGGCAGGAGAAGCAGTTCCTTATTTACAGATCCTAGGTGAATAAAGTGACATTATCTGGTTCTCCTCCTGTTTAAGTGACAAGTGGGTTTATTCTATCAACAGTTTATGATGCTGAGAGTATTTTAATCTGATGGCTCTGTGAACAGAGGAGGCAAAATAAACCAGAATCTTTGCAAGCTAGAACATATGGCAAGGTGAGGCCTAAAGCTAAAGTAAATGGTTTTAAAAGCACAGGTGATGAAAGCAGTAGTTTTTAGACAAGAAACATTTTAATTATAATCCTAAATTAAATATCAATGCTTTCCATGCCAATCATATAGTTAGCAATAAATGCTCAAATTACATATTAACCTGGTTTCGTTATTCCAGATGACCCAAGGTTTCAATTTTACAGTCTATTTACTTGATTAAGTAGGACTTTAGGACTGAAGGGTCATACAATCAGTGACCTACACCGTACAATTACATTGAAGACTGCAGAAATAACTCGATGACCCCAACACTCTATTCCACTTTCTGTTCAAAATGCTCCCCCTCTGGAAAAATATATTTATGAATATATCTTTCAGCTCAGCAGTGAATCCCCACCCACTCAGTTGTGGCTACAGTGGCTTTTGTTTCAGGGAGGAGCCACATGATTCCCAGAGCACCACCCAGAGCTTAATGGTGGAGGTACTTTGGACAGGCCTGCAAGCTCGCTCAGAGCTACACGAGCCCAGACACCCACCATTGCAAGCGAATGTTACAATTATGAGCCTTGCATCTGATATATTCTTTTCTACTAGAGGATATATTTTACAATAAAAATTCCTCATTCCCTACCCTTTAGCCGCAATTATAAATTATTATATGTTATCATCTGATTACTTATCATCATTTTCAAAATTACTTGCCATGCAAATACAAGAAAAACATTTCAAATTACTTACAATAGCAGATAACTGCTTAGCTCAATGAAATTGACTCTTCTGCCTCTTGCAGTAACAAGTAAAGTCTCTAATACTGCAAATATTCTCTGAATAACCAATGTGGAGTCCTGCAGCTCAGTGGTTAGAGCACTCGCTTTGCAAGCGAAACACCTGGGTTCAATTTCAGGCAGAGGGCGAAACCTTGGGCAAGTTTCCTTACTCCACACACCTAATAATAATCCCTCCAAAACAAAACAAAAATAAAAAATTGGTCATTTTCAATCCACGACTGTTTGTGGGACATTGCTGTGAGCATTTGGCTGCCGCGTTCGCCCACAAATATACGGTCAATTCACTTTACAGTATATTCTGTGAAGCGCTTTGAGACAACTAGAAAACGTGAAAAGCGCTATATCAAATGCAAGGATTAATAATAATAATAATAATCCTTGCATTTGATATAGCGCTTTTCACTTCGGGAGGACGTCCCAAAGCGCTTCACAGAACACACTGTAAAGTGAATTGACTGTATATTTGTGGGCGAACGCGGCAGCCAATTGCGCACAGCAATGTCCCACAAACAGTCGTAGATTGAAAATGACCAATTTATTATTGTTTTTGGTTTTGGAGGGATTATTATCAGGTGTGTGGAGTAAGGAAACTTGCCCAAGGTTTCGCCCTCTGCCTGGAATTGAACCCTGGTGTTTCGCTTGCAAGGCGAGTGCTCTAACCACTGAGCTGCAGGACTCCACGATTATTATTATTATTAATTTAAATCAGCTCTCAGTAAAACACTCTAAACTAATTCTCATGATATCCAAATTTATCATTTATGATTGAATTGATGCCTTGAATTACTAAAACTTGCATTTTACACAAGCTTAATTGCCCTGAACCTTGTTGCTAGTTATGAAATGTGAGTGCATGTGAAATGTAGGTATATTGAGCGTCAGAATTTTGTTTAGCACCAAATTGATAGACCATTAGGACAATGAACTGTAAATATCTGAGATATCAAGCATCCTTGAGAATAGCTTTCTTTAGCAAATGGTCCTGTTCTAAATAGACTTGAGGACCAAAGATGCAAAAGTACCCCACATTGGTAAATTTAACAAGAATATTCTACTCTCTAATAAGACGACATAACTTGGTAAAAACATAGTCGTTACACCAACACAATGCATCAATTCTAGGTTGTGCATCACATTCACCTTCAGCAGAAAAATAGCTTTAATTTCTACACAAATTTTTCATATTTTGGAAAACATTTTGTATTTATTAAAGTCAGATTATACAGCATGGCCCTCCCTATTAGAATGCACACTGGTTGAGTGTGGGTTCGCTTTTAGTGAAGATTTCCTGTGGATCTTCACTGTACCAGAAAGTGTGGTAAAGCTGGATTCTGGTGCTGACTAGCCGGCTTCTCATGCTAAATAAAGGCCCACTCTTCGGGTTATGAGGTTGCTGCTGTAGTCAGGAACTGCACACTGCAGTGACCTGCAACAACCCAGAAGCAGGATCGTTGGCCAATTTTTTTTCAGACTATTATAACATCATGTTTGGGTTCTGAGACACTGAGTTCTAACAGAGTTGCCTTGTACTGAAGAACTTACATTTAAAATATGATTATGATCTGTTATCTCAGCAGCAATTAAAGCTTTCAGCTTCTGATATTTTGCTGCATTTCAAATATATTTCTTGGAAAATTACAAAATAAGAGTCCAGTGGGCTGCAGACAGAATTCAACACCTTTTTGCAGACAAGCCTGTGTAAAACACTGATTAATTTACAGCATTTCATAAGGCAAAGGTACATTATAGGATTAAGGTGTAAACCCATATTAACACCACACAAGATGTCAATTATTGTAGTATACAAGCTTTATGCACCCTCTCACTTACTCAAAAAAACCTGCTGGATTTAGAACAATTCCTGCTCAGTCTTTGTTTCTTTTATAAATGTACTTTCTCTCCGAATTCCAGTTTTCTCATTAATCACCATCCCACGTCATTCACTATTCCCTGACTGAAAAGACAGGTTTCCACTACACCAGAAGAGAACTCCAGCACACAATTATACACAAAGGAAACCATGACCTAAGGTAATTTAAGCAGCAACTACTTCCCACTGAAAGAAGCATTGGANTTTTTTTCACACACTTTCTTGGTTTAACAGGTGGAGACAGACTTGGCATCAAGGTAAGAAGATGTAAACAGGCCGAGTGGATCATGTATTTGGATCTAAGTAATAAACCAAAGAAAGGACTGAAAGGATGCTTGTTGATTCAACCTCTTGTTTCTATGTGATTGTTAAATCGCAGCATAAAGATACTCACATATATATGACTCCTAAAGAGATCATGTAGGCCACTCGTACACACTTTGTCTCCTTCCAGACCAATCAGTCTTTTGCAGATGCTCATCTTGGGGTCGTTTGGATTTTTAGCAATTATAATATCACCTCTGAGGACATAACACAAACAGTTTCAGCGAACATACATTTATCAACAATCTACATGTGTTGTGCAGTCAGTAGTATAGTGTCTGCCTTTAAGGTGGTAGTGTACTGGGGCTCATGTGGTATCCTCTAAGTGCGTGACTGTCTTTGCAAATGCAAAGTCACAAGCTTTTGAAAATATTACTTTGTAAGGAAAACACAAAATACACTAGTTTACAGTTTCGCAGTATATATTGAATTAAATAATGGAGGATTATGTTACCAACACAACGTACACAATTTATTTTCCTGCAACTTTTCAAATTTGATAGGCTCATCAAAGGAATCTTCATGAATACTTAGGAACATAAAATATTTTTAAATAATGTCTTAAACTGTAGATAGATTAATTAGTGATAATCAAGAGACTGCAGAGATTTCTTATAAACTAATAACTTACTTGTCAATGCGGTAAAACTGTCGACTGAGTTTTTCACAGATAATTACATCATACGTCCTAATTGTAGGCTCCATGGAGGGGCCAGAGCACTGGAAAATAAGGAGAAAAGAACTCATTATGGTTTTAGATGAATATTTATTTTGTGCACATGAAAAGAAGCTTGTGATTCCAGAAGTAAAATAAATAAAATAAATCATGAGTATGAGGGCACGATGCGATGGTAATACTAACTCAACCTGATCCTTAGATTGCAGATACAGTATATCTAAATATCACTGAGAAATCAACAACTTCCCTGGTAACTGAGTCATCTGAGGATCACGTCAGAGGTTCCTAAAATGAAAACAGTGTCTAATAGAAGTCCTTGTGTGTTGAAGTAAGAGGTGGTTAAGCTGGCTCCAAAGAGTCCAGTTATGTTGCTTTCCCCACAGTGAACTGAAGCTGGCAAGCAGATAAGACAGTTCTAATTGACACAATGCTGTTTAACAAATCTGGACTGTTGGACTCCCACCTCATACACCTGGCAATCTCACAGAAAGATTTTCTACTTTATATAATAACATGAGGATACTCAGTCCAGTGCTCATGGCTGACAGTAGGAAGATTATTAGTAAATATCAAATATAAGAAATACTCTATGACAGACCCTTAGGGAAAATTCTATTATGACAGACTTTCAAGCAGAAGGATGTTTTACTGCTGACGCTACCAATGAATAATCATTATCGAATGCCTGAAAACACTGACCAGAACTGATGCAAAAATCTTTGATTCCACATCATAAAATGTCATTGCCAATTGTATCACAGGCCTCCTTCAAACAATGTTTTCTGACATATTTGACTTTTACTCACGATAGGTAAAGATAGAGATTCTAACCAAAGTGAGGAAAGAACAACATGAGGACTAATGGCAACAGATCATAATTTGATTAGGTTACCTTGTTCTCTGCTGTGTTATTTCTAAAGGCCAATAAGCACATGCACTTTCTTCAGCAAATACTCTCAAGTGGTTCAGTTGAAAGCGCAATAAAATCAGCTCTGATACAATTCTCTCTCATTACGAACATGTAAGGATGACCTTTCTCTATTTTAAGGTATGCAACAAAATATGTTCCAATACTAGAGTAGTTTATTGTGTATTAAAAACATACCATAACGATTTCTCCAAGGTACTCAAAAGTGCAATGCACAATGCAACCATATTGAATAGTAAAGCCTGCTAACCCCAGAACTCTTCTAAAGAATCTTCTTAACATGGCAGGTCCACTCCGCATAAATTGTCCAATTCCTGGAATCCAAAATAAAAAAAAATGTATTATCAAATTATCATAAATATTTTTTATCAATATCACATTTATTTTATCAAATGGATTCATTTGAAACTGAATTTCTTAAATATTTATATAAACCAATACAACAGTATCAGAAAATTCATTGAAACTATAATAATAATCTTTGCATTTGATATTGCCTTATCGCATCACCGATACATCTCAAAGAATATACTGTAAAGTGGACTGACTGCGTATTTCGTGGTTTGTTATATAAGAGCAATGGTTTAGCGGATTGGTGCAGTGAATAGCTGAGCCATGTAACCGCGGAAGGCCCAGGTTTGACCCTGACTCTGGTGAATTGTTGATCTAAGATAAGTGGCAATAGTGGCACTTTCAACTTGGAGGAAAAATAGCTTCTCTTTTAAAAATTCTTTTTTTTTCGTGGCTTTCACATATTGATGGGTGCCTAAGATCATCAAAATTATCTAAGATCAATTTTTTTCCTGTACTTTTTTTCAAAAAAGGATTATTCCTGACACACTGAGAAATTCATGGGTGGGGGGGGGGGGAGCGAATGCTGTTGGTCATTCATGTGACAAAGTTGGGGGTGGGCCAGAGTTCTGGAACAAAGCAACACAGAGAAGACTGTAGTGGATGAAGTATGAAACAGCAATGAAAAATATAGTAGGTTTATGTGTGAATAATAGTCAGAACCAATCTGAATGTGTCTGCAATCAGCGTAAATAAATATTGTCAAAGAATATGGTAATAAACTTGGTCTAATCAGGTTTAGATCAGTGTCAAAATAGATTATCTCTTCAAATGGTCAGGATTTACACATGCAAGATCTAAGGTCCCAGAAAAAAAAAGCTAATGTTGATGTCAGGACCCCAGAAAGTATGATTTGGGAAAATAAGCGGGAACAATCTGAACACAAGCGCTCAAAATATGGGAATTAGTTGGGGTAAGTCATATTGCTAGATTGTCTTGGAAAAATGTGAAAGTTATGGAGATTTGTATCAAGAGTACTTAAATGGTGTCAGTGGTTGCAATACATAGAGTGCCATACATCACATTTCTTCATTGACACTAGAATATGACTTGTAGTTTTTAATAGAGCAGCTATATGAGAATATCACTTAGCAATATGATACGAGTGGATACTTATGTGAACTTATCATAACATTTCTTAGAATTCTCCACTGAAGTATTACTTCGGGAGTAAATTAGTTGGACTTAATAGTTTTGAATTTTCTTTATTTAATCCCACAATGTAATTAGAATTCTTCTTAAAACCTTTTTTCCCTCGGTGACCAAAATATTATTCAAATGTTTCATGTTTATATAAGAAATCTGTTCTAATGAAGAACGAAAATACAAAATAACTCTAAATTGTGCTAACTTAATATAGAAAGATGTACATTGTGGCTTTTAGCTTATATATTGTAACTAATAAGTTGCAATGGGTGTTTGCATTGAGTTCTAGGTTTACAAAAATTAACACAGCTTACATTCAAATTTAACAGTAAAACAGAAATCACTTTGAGCCCCTGACTGAGATCCAAGAGAATGGGAAAGGATTATTTCCCAGTCACTGGCAGCAAGATTGCCAGGTGCTTCCCAACATTTGAAGGTGCTACCAATAATCCCATTACATTTCCACTAAATCTTACAGACATCAAAAATGTCGCCAGGGCTTTTCATCTCATGTCTTTAAAATGACTGGAAGTCACTTCACCTGAAAAAAGTAAAATCCACATGCAGCTGCTACTTCAGCAACCAGTGGATGCAACGAGAATGGCAAATGTGATCCAATTTCACTGTGGTGGTGGCCTCTATTCCCTGTCCAATAATACATCTGTTAGAAAATCCTAGAGCTACAAATCAAGTTTAATCCTACCAGAGACCTCATGTTGGTCTTGTCTTCCAAACAAGCAGCAGGTTCTGGTTGATTCTGCTGCTGATTTCTGTGAGCGTCTGGGGATGCTCTCAAATCCCAGCTCTACTAAGAAGAATAAGCCAAGGATCACATAGCATGACCTCAAAACCCTGATATGACTATATTCTGACCCAGGGGCATTCATTCTAGGTGAAGATTAGAACTTTGCATAATAAGATTACACGGCAAGTGAACGATATCAAGGGACTATCCATATGCACTTGCCTTGTTTTCTATGGCCGGGCTTTGCTTCATACTAAAAGAAGCTTGTTCCTTCTGTTAGAAATGACAGGGATTCACATAAATTAGTTGATCATTTCAAGCTTTAATATAGCTTCTATTACATCTCTTTTACTGACAGCCTCTTTGGAGATCTGAACATTATTCTTTTATTCTTTCACTATATCATCCTAATTTTAATTTGCATGTGCACAGATTTTGCTACCAATTTTCACCCAGATTGACTTTACATGGGATTATAAACTGCTATGCGCATATTGCAACAAAGAAATTAATAGTTTTCTTGTTTAGTCAAAACATCTCGTTTTTGCTAAATCATGTGTTTCATTAAAAAAATTCCCATTAAATTCAAAAGCTAGTGTCATTTCAAAAATGACTTTTCAAAAAAATCAAGTAAAATTATAATGCCATTCATTCTGTAATGATCTTTCAAGTAATTTTAGTGAATATTAACTGCAACACTAACTATATCATGAAATGATCACATAATTGCTGAACATTATTGAAAGGTGCCTATCAGTATATTAGTACATAAAGAAAATGATGTGTTTGACTGTTGATCCTAGGCTGAAAGAGTCAATTCAATGTCCAACAGTTGAAAACCAAGTCTTGGGAAGCATGTGGAGAGCAACGATCACAATTCAGAACATATTATTGCTCACGCTGTATAGATTACTGGTAAGGCTGATTTTAGAACACAGTGTGCATTATATACTGTATCTTAAAGATGGACATTCTCCACAGCAGTTAGATATACAGCAGATCTTAACAGGGTAAGTCAATTGAATTGTTCATCTTCCACAAATTAAAACTAGGTAAAATCATATTGAAAACTAAAGATTAAAAACTAAAGTTTTAAGTATAAATTGTATGTCTGTTACAAACTCAAGGGCTCAGCTTTGTAGGAATTATTATGGTTTATCCATAGCTTCTGATAGCACCTGACATCCATCATTATTCTAATCGTCCTTATTTATAAACGTGTTATTTCAGACTTCTTTCAACGTCTTGACTTGCTTCTCTAAAAACTACAACTACCTGAAATATCTTTTTATTGACAGTTAAATTCAAACAGCTTTTTTAACTGTAGATTAGAACTGACATTTTTCGCTTTTGAGTATGGAATTATCTTCAAGTTTGATCAAAGAGCCCATTATCAGAACAATACATGACACCTTACAAAAATTGAACAAATAGGCTTCAAAAATCTCAATCCAACGCTTATGTAATTGAACTGTTTTTCTGTCACTGATCAGTTATGACAGGGAAGCTGCTGTTTTCTTTCCTTATTATTTAACAAACAAAAAACACCTTTCGTCTCATGCCCATGAATGAGAACAGCAACATCCATCCACTTTTAATCCCCAGTCTTCAAAACTCATGAATAAAAATGAATCGTTTCACTCGAACATCCTAAATATGCTGAGCCTATTAGACAAGAACAAAAGCATGTGCACAAAAGAGTTTTAATAAATTTCAAAGACTGTCAGAACAGCGTTCTCATTTAAATTATAAATTACAAAATATGCAATGAAGGCTCTGGACTGCAGTGCAGTTAAGCAGATTACACAAAACCCTGCGTTCAGTATGATAATGTGCTCACTGCCTCCCAGATGGAAGTCTGAAATAAAAAGGCTATCACAGTAGCAAGGGAAAACTCCTTGTGATCTCTAGTCCCTACACTGCAGATGACAGCCAAATAGTATGTTGATTATTCTGTTTGTGTTGCTTAGCTCATTTAATACAGGATAAAAGTGATGTGATCCGCTGTGGATTCAATAGGTTCTACTGTGTTATTACTCTTAATGTAATTAAACCTTTGATTTCAACTTTACTATACACCATATTACTATACTGAGATTATTTTGGAAGGCACAAGCAGCATTTATATGTGGCATTAGCAACCAGCAGATTTCAGTGTGTGTAAATCTACCACAGGACAGTGAGGAAGTAACACACCATCAATTCCTTGTTGGTAAGCAGATACTTACATATGACATCAATCTTAAATATACAGGCTTTACAATGCTGAAGGAAACAGCGCAAGTTAAACAAGATGGCTTGCAAGAAATTATCTGGTTCTAAACCTGAATCCTGTGCGATCCCATAAAAGAGAACAGAAGATCATATCATTTAGATGAAACTCCTTATTGGCTTTTAGCTGAATCAAGAAAACACTCCCACTCCTTTTCATCTTGTAGCTTTTAGACTACCATTTGCAAAATTATTCAATTTACATTCTAATTCTAAGTGATATATACTGCATTTAGTATTCTCCCCAAAACATACTATCCATTGATAAACTTAAGTAATGACAATGCAATTGTTAATCCTCTTGTATTATCACATATTAAGGACATGGAGAGCATGAACAGTCAGCATCCACATTGACAGCTGCTGTTGGCACAAAACATAAATATGGAATATCCCCTCAAATAAAATTAAAAGAGCATACAAAAGATATCAGCGTATGAATTTAAAATTGGCAATTATTCTTAACCAATGTAATCATATCTCAGGGTCCAAAGGGGAGTAGTCAAGTTTGTGGACATAGAGACAGTTTTGAAAGAAAACGAAAATCTCTGTTAAAGCACAGTGATTCACACAAAATAAGGAAAGTTCATCTAACACATCAATGATTCCCAATCAGAATTCACTTGCAATTGTTAGCTTTAAGAAGCTAAACTTTAGTAGTGTTCTGGGGAAATCATTTTTGCCTCTCCTCTCAACTTAGTATTTTTTCTCAACTCTCAACCTGGTAGAAACCAAGTTTCCAAAGACTCACAGAAATATTTGTAACACTTTTGCTTAATAACAAAATATATTTATGGGCAATAAAAGATTTCAACAATAGGACACAAACACTTGAATGTACAATCAAGTGTTTACAGACAATCATATGCATCTTCCATAGGGTCATCATAGATAAGAGTCTCATCTGTTAAGAGTCCACTGGTGATTTCCCTTCATTTCTCCACCAAAGACCCAGTGCACACAGAAAAAGGCTCCATACATCAGAGGTTTGTTACACTTGAGATCACTGTGCACTTCAAACAAGTGCATAGCAATTTAAGTACAGGCAAAATACTTTGCAATAATCTGGAGCCTAGTTGTCACAGCGGATAGCCTCTGACCTTGATGTGATACACATATAGTAAGACTTTGTGCTGGGCCAGCATGTCTCACTTCCAACTTTCATGGAGTCAGAACCAGCTCTATTTTGATAGAAACTGATGTGTCATTCTATCTTAATGGTGAATCCATGAAGGGTATCTCCATTGAGAAACCCTCCCAAAGTTCATTTGCATCATTATATAGATAGATATATAACACCTGTAAATATGGCATCCACAGTCTCAATGAAATATAATTATACTCTGATATGTCCACCTGGAAAGATTAGTTCCGTTTTATTCACACCACATATTTGTAAATAATAACCAAATACTCCTTCATTGCTTTAACACATTGCATATTTACTGCCCACGGGGACTATGGTCTACACTGATGTATTTGTTTTTATGAATGATTTAAATAAAGTTTAAGGTAATAATCATTCGAAGTTCCTACCATTAAATAATAATATGCTCTTGTGACCACCCTGCACGTAATAAATTGTTTGGTCACTCTTATCCAAATAAGGTGGAAAATAATCCCAAATCCATTTAGAGATATCTGGAAGTGGTGTGGTTGACAGCAAGACCACAGTGCCCTTTGTTAAAAGCTGCCACTCACACTGTTATCAAGTAATACCTTGCAATCTCAATGACACAGCTTTTCAGAACAAAAGGAGATGGGATCAGTGGAATAGGGAATATTAAAGAATCTGAGGAAAATATTCAGGCTGAATTATAGAAACATAGGTTGGGATGAGGGTAGTTCTCCATATTCAGAGCTCAAACCTGTGTCTCCCCTGGATGCTGACAAATTACTTAGCTGGTTCCTTCCCTTTCTATTTCTTTTGATTATGCCCAGATAGCATTACCAAAGCAGCGCTGCTACTGCAAAGACAGTAGGCAAAATACTCTGGATCTATAGCTAATTGATTTGTGAGTGAAAAAATAGATCATCAGGAACTTATTCTGCTGATGTCATCTGAATGTTTCTAGAATATATTTTGTGTGTATATATATGCATATATATCGAGAGAGAGAGGAGAGAGAGAGAGAGAGAGAGATACATAATGTACAGGATTTTACCAGAAACATCTGAGAACTGAGAAATAATATAACACAGAAATCTCAGGCACGATTGAGCTTTAAAATTGAGCACTCAACTTTTCTCCACTATCAACGGTCAAAGGACTTCAAAACACCGTGCAATTCCGGCTCAATTGGTCCCAAAAGAATAAAGGTTATTTATTTGAAATCTATATTAAATGTTTTTCCATTCAACTGAGTCAAAAAAAACTTAGCAGACCTGTTCCCAAATTCCCATGAATTCCAAACCATTAATTTCTGTGTACATACAATAGTGTTAGATAGACCCTGGGCTATTATAATCTAATTTCCTACATCCCTTCTACTACATGCTGTAATCATGTTTTTCTTTGAGGGGAACTTGCCACATGATTATTTAGAGAGCCTACCCATTTACCAAGCTATACAGCACAAGCAACAATTTAGTGCGGTAACTATTACACTCACTCAATGTGTGTTTGAGACCAAAAATAACAGCCATCTACCAACCTACAGTGAAGACGGCTTCAGTATCTTAACCAACTAAGAGAATCAACTGTATCTTAATTATCTAACTAAGAGAGCATCATTCTGACCCCTGCTCCTCAGGCTACCGTGCAAGCAAAAAGAAAGCTTAAAATGCATTCATTTATTAATAGCTAATTTTTCTATTCTCGAAACAAGTGTTCTTAGAAAAAGACACTGACATGGCAACAAATTATTTTTCATATTAGTCTGGTAAATATTATAATTTCACAGAGTATGAGGCAAGTTCTACGAACCCTTTCACTTATTCATGTACATTTAATTCACTGAATCCACTGAGTAAAAATAGAAGCAATTATTCTTCCCACAGACCGCATTTATTTACATTCTCTCTCCCCATGAAAATCACACAGTCTGGGTTCAGAAATGATTTTCAGTTTCTTCCAGAATATCAGGAATAAATGCTGTCATTTTACCCTGGGAATCACCAATGCTTTCAAGTGTTGTTTACAACACTCATGGTTCCCTTCAATTTACATCCTCATTTATGTCACCCAAAGATATATAGATCAAAAGCTTTTGTTCTTCTAAAATGCATCTTGTCATTCCAAAGCACCCGTGAATTAAGTCAAAGTCTAAACCACCCTCAGCCTGAATTCCCAGGATTAAATATTCCTATCAGTGGTTATTAGTCTCTAAAAAACACTGTTTAAAATTCACCCCATTGTGATCAATAGAAAGGTGCGGAAAATGAAGTCATCTTCTTTGAGATCATAATCCCCAATACATGCTGTGAGGAATTTATGAGCATCCCAAGAAGCAAACTACCTTGTTTCAGTGCACAGCATGTCACACAAGGGGGTTAGGTCACATGCCCTACCTAGTCAAGTGACACTATACTTAATCCAATTTAGTGAATATAAAACTTCAAATCAGCAGATACAAATTTCATCGCAGGCTAGGAATAATAAAGAATAAGGAAGGAGGATTTACAGTATGATGGCATACGCTGGTAAGAAGATTATAAGTACAAATAGCATTGTTAACGAGTGTTAAGTTTCCTTTTCATTAATTATCAATCTTTGTAGTTGACATGAGGTAAACCTTCCAAATCATATGCACAAGTGAACAGAATAAGGAAATATGCAACACATAATTTTGTACATGTGTTTTATTAGACAGATGTAGTTAAATGATATGTACCATATTTAAGGTTAAAAATAATTGACAGTACCAATTTTTTTTAATGACAAACTCGTTGGCTACCAATGTGTATATTCTTCATGAACATTTTCCTTTGATGATCTCCATTTCCATCAGTGCAAGCATTTGTCAGTGATTGTAAAATTCAAAAAGACTCGAGGAAGTTAGCAGCAAGGCCTCAATAGTCTTTTTGTTCAGTCTCAAGTGCCCTTGTATGCAATTCGAAACAAGTACTTTAGGTTCCAATTTTCTGGCATTTTTCAAAATCACAAACTATGAATGTGAATGAGGTTGTAAGCTGCAGAACCATTGCTGCAGTTATTAACTATCCACCAATGCTGGGATTTTAGCTATTTATTTTTCTGATGTTCTGCCTATGTAGAAAAATATCCTACTATGCCTAGCTTCCACGTAGCGTTTATTCAATATCTGAATCTAGCGTTTGTAATAGCTTCTTTCCAGCTTCTTCATGCATTTGTCAAACCAAGCAGTGACTGAAATGTATCTGGACGATTAGTAGCTTTCAGGCCCCGGGAACATGGTACATCTTTCCCTCTACTGTCCTTTGTCCCCATTTATAGTCTCTCAAAGATTAACATTCATGTCACTGCTCCCAAGCTTGATCTGTCACACAGACAGATTGCAAACATTTCCAAACAAAAGACCTATAACAATAACTGAAACTATTTTCTAACAAAAAGAGACTGGAAATGTTATCACCACAAATACGAACAGTTTACCATGATTATCTTAACTCCTTGCCACTCAACAGGTCACACTACTTGGTTACCAAACGAAAAGCAGCTATTGATTCAAAATGTATTTTGATGTAGGTCTAACAGACAACAATCTGACAGAACCTAGAAAATTAAAGCCATATTACCAGAAAATAATACTGTCCTGTGCAATGAAATGTATGAGCAACAGATGTACAGTATCTGGAATCTGAGGCACCATTCAGAAGATAAAGCAAATTTGAACATTTTATGCACTGCTTGATACAGCAATTTGCATTCCTCTTGAATTTGAATTACTCTCCTGACTGGAAGGTTACATCATTCTTTGTTATTATATGCATGTTTTGAAATTTCTAACCTCCTCGTTAAAAGTTTGGTTCCAAAATCAGTGATTACAAGTGGAACAGTTGCAGAATAAAACCGGTATCAATTATTTTGATAAACCAGGCACATAATACATAAATATGTTGGAATTGATGTTAATGATGAGGAAATATACCATAGTACTTAACACTATTCTGGAGAATTTACATAATTAGCTGCAATGGACGTTATATACTGCTTTACTGTAAAAGAAATACAGTATATTATTCACATTACCACACTGACAGCTTACACATCAGTACGTGGTAATTGGTAATTTAATTTTATCTTAGAAAATTAAGAAAGAGGAAGCATTAATCTAACACTGGTACAGTCTCGGTCTTGAAGATGGTGACCAATTACCCTAGAGCAATCTTATTTCCAGCTTTGACAATGCTGAGAACAAAGAAATTGGATATACTGCATGGATATTATCAGGAATCCAATGCATTTATAAGCAAAGGACTATATCTCATAATTCATTGAGAAAAATAAAGTTATGGGAATTTCCAGATGGAGGCCAAGTGGCATTCATGGAAGCCTCACTCTCCCTTGGATATTTGGAGATGGGTTCCTGCATTTGTCAAAACATTATGAATTTAGTAATTTCTTCTTGAAAACCAATGGTAAATTTAGCAAAAGTGCTCCTTTTCCCACAACCTGAAAGGTGCAGCTCTAATAGACCCATAACTGGTTTTAACAAGTGTTAAAATGATCTGGGTTTTAACTTCCAAAAACTGTAACTTGCGAAGTTTGATTGATACTGTCAATCACTGAATAGTAAACACAGTGAAATGCACAACCCAGAAATGTGAAATGTCAAGGAAGTTACTAATATTGACAAATTATGACAGTCTGCTAGTTTTGCCTTCATCCAGGTTTGCACAGTGGAAATGTTGGAACATCAACCTCCTGGATTTTGTGACACTTTCTGTAACTGACTCTTTCAGCACTCATTCCGATTTCTGTTAAAATCTGGACATGTGTGAACAAAACACTGATATTGTCAATCTTCTGTAGGACACATCAATTTATATATGCTGGCAAATGACAGTCAGTAAGATGCAATTTAAATAATCAAGCTTGACAATTATTCTATTCAACTGTAAGTGGCACTGCACTGCACTGGAAGCTGCTTATTATCATATCTCTTCTATCTTAATTTGATCATAAAATTACAAAACTATTTTCTATTTATATCTATACATTCAAGCTTGTTTTCTGTCATAATACAAATTGCGTTGTGTCACAATTTCTAGATTTCAGATATTTAACAAGCCTGACATTTAACATAATGTCATTTTTACAGAGTCCAACTACAATAAGATATAATCACCTAACCAAGGTCTCTGTAATGAATTATAACTGTGTCACTAATCATTCTACCCTCTGGTCTATAATTTATGAAAGATTAAATCGGTGGTTCACAAACATTTTATTTGTTACTTTCCTCCCTCAGCAATTCCTTCACTATTTAATTCATCTTGCACATTACCACTCTGTGGACAGCACTTGCTGAATTCTACTGCTCCAGGCCTTTAAGTCACTGTTCCAGATAATTATAGAATAAATCAATCTCAATCAGTGACTGACTTGATTTCCATTTTAAATCTAACCTTTCCTTTAAATAAAGATAATTATGGGCTTCGCCCATTGGCTCTGTGGATGAAGACCCTGCCCCATATGAAACACAGAATTGGTCGCAGATTCAATTTCCAGTCTGTATGCAGTTAGCCAGGCTTATTCATGGCACTAGTGAGATAGAACTGCAAATTGATCTCAAAGCCCATAGGCTGGGGAGGTAGGAAGAGAGAAAATACGGCTCTGAATGTGTTTTGATCTTAGATCAGAACAAGTAGGAATGAGTGTACTGTCCCGTATGGTTGAATAGTCTGCAACCTGGCAGTCCAGGCACACAGATAAAAATGAGTACTTGGACAAGGTACTGAAGAACACACACTTTTTGAATAAATATTCAATAGAGAATCCAAGTTAGTACTGGCACCTAACCAATAGTGGGGCGAGCAAGGCGAGGGATGTGAAGCAGACCGAAGCCCACTGAGCGGTGGGAGCGAACAGGGTGGTAGGGAGTTAGGAGGTCTGAGAGGTAGGGGGGGGAGCAAGACCGTGGAGGGCTTTGAAGGTGAGGACCAGGATCTTGAACTCTGTGATGGGAAGCCAGTGGAATTGGACAAGGATGGGGCTGATAGGGTCGTGCAGGAGAGGACATGGGCTGCAGAGTACTGGATGATCTGCAGCCTGTGGAGGGAGGAATTGGGGAGCCCAACAAGCAGTGAGTTTGCATAGTCGAGCCTCGATGTAATGAAGGCGTGTATAAGGGTTACCTCCGTTTGTTGAATTCATTGCTTATGAGGGAGCTGAAGTCTTTCAGTCTCTTTTTCTCTTTCAATTAATTAACTGTATCTACATTTTCCAAACAAGTTCACACTAAGAATCTTGTATTTCGGCTGTCGAATGCTTTTTTCATTTGCCCCTTCCAGCACCTAGTCTCTTGACATCTACATTTGATGGTTACATTTCTATTCTGCACTCCACCCGCCCCCCACCCCCAAAAAAAATGTAATGAATTTCAATGAATCATAAAGCTCAGTAAGTGACTTCTGGTCATGGTTTGGTAAGATTCAATACTTAAGCAATAACTATTATTATGATCTTAAATAACTTTTCACATACCATTTAAGATTTCAAAAGATGAAACATTTGATTTACTTACTAATTGTGCATTCTTCAGTTGTTTTCAATGTCTTAATGGTTCACTGATTAATAAAAGCAAAATTAAAAGAATTATTTTAGATTCAGCATTGATTATTCTCAATGAAAGTTACCAGTAACATAGTATCACCTCTCACAATATGCCACAATGGGGACACCTGTGTGGAATTTTTGTTGCCAACATCATTGTTTATACTGAACACAAATTTAATTTGCTCTAGTAATAAGCAACTATTCTTCCCCCCACATTTAAGTCAAGTCATATTTTGTTGTGGTCTTTCGATTGTTTAAAAGAAAGCAGAGAGAAAATAAATCAGAACAAATGTGGTCATTGATTTTTATTTATTTTGGAACAAATTGAGGAGTTTGAACTCACTAGATTAAGCTCTTCCTGCATCGTAATAAATAAAACACTATTCTGTCAGGATCAGGGTGCATTATAATCTCATTAAAAAATAATTACAAAATAAAAGATAAGACATGTGATGATGTTTCAGTAGCACAACATTGTTTGACTCCAAACAGAGGGAGCTTAATTCTTAGGGAATTCTTGTCACTCCAAATTGCTTATGTCAGTCCGATGAGATTTGTCAGCTCTATGCAGTGCTGCGAGATAGAGTACCATATTGAATAAAGATGGCCCCTCTTGGGTGAAGGAAGAAGCTGACATTGCTCCATGCCTCTCTTGTTAGTCAACTGAATCATGCATCCTAATAGCACAGTCTGCAGCTGCAGAGACACCTGCGGAGTGCATCAACCTGACATCCTGCCTGGAGCAGGATGTATGGTGCCAAGTGGCATGTGAGGATAGAAATGGAGAAAAAAATGGCAACAAAGAAAAATATTTTGGAAATGCTTTTGAAATTTTCCATCGGAATTTGTAAACAGACATATATTTGCGCATGCCATGACATTTGTACAATAGCAAAATTAGCAAACCAAATAGAAAAAGTTGAAGTACAACTTATCAATATTTACAGCCACATGCAGATTTCAACGAACACTGTTCCTGTACCAGTGATCTAGAAAAATAACAGTGAAGAAACCTCCCATGTGTGCAAGGAGGAAAGCAATAGAAGTATACTTATCAACAGAATGGGGACAGTGATGTTAACTTTTTATAGGTTGCTGCAGGCTATGCATGCCCACTACCAAAAAGATGTTAATGTGTTTATCCTGGAAAAACTCAAGATTTTAGCATTGTACCAGCACGTGTGGTGCAAATATTATTTACTGGTATGCAAACAGAGTGCAATAAAATTCTAACACTGCACGACTTCTGAGAGAAGATTTAATGTGCTGCTGCTTAGATTTACCAGTACCTAGCCTTGGCTTATTGGTACAGATGCTTTGCAGTCAACATGATCAAGTGGTATTATCCTGATATTCTTATCTTGCATGGGAGAAACAGTAAGTAGGATCAATTCCTGACCAAGACATGGAAGGATTTCTAAATAATAAAAAAAACTCGCCTTTGGTACAGTGCCTCATGTCAGGACGTCCCAAAGCCTTCCAGGATACATTGTAAAGTGCAGTGGTCGTGTGTTTTGTGGGCGAAATGCAGCAGCCAATTTGCACGTAACAAGCAAGCAACAACAAGTTGCATTCATGTAACGCCTTTCACGTCCCAAGGTGCTTGAAACAGACATTGAGTGAAAGGCCAGTTTTATTTGGAGGATTGTTGGCCAGGACCTAAGGACAAATGCCCTTCTCTTTTTGAATAGTGCCAATGGACCTTTAATGTCCACCTGAACAGGCAATAAGGGGCCTCAATTTAACATCTCATCCAAAGCGCGTCAACCTCCCAACAACGCAGCACACCCCCCGCACTGCCCTGGAATGACGGCTCAGCGGACATGAGGTCCGAATCCCCACGTGGGGCTTGAACCCACAGCCTCCTGGCTCAGAGCCCAGAGCGCTAACCGACTGAGCCAGCATTTAGAAATCCTTCTTTGTCACGGTCAGGGACCGGGACCCATTTACTTCGCCTTTCGTAAATTTGTGTTGATATACTTTCGTTAAAGTCTCTCTCTCTCTCAATTGTGGAGTCCTGTAGCTCAGTGGTTAGAGCACTCGCTTTGCAAGTGAGAGACCTGAGTTCAATCCCCGGGGGGTCAGGGCCAAACCTTGGGCAAGTTTCCTTACTCCACACAGAGCCTAATAATAATCCCTCCAAAACCAAAACAATAATAAATTGGTCATTTTCAATCCACGACTGTTTGTGGGACATTGCTGTGCGCAATTGGCTGCCGCGTTCGCCCACAAATATACAGTCAATTCACTTTACAGTGTGTTCTGTGAAGCGCTTTGGGACGTCCTCCCGACGTGAACAGCGCTATATCAAATGCAAGGATTATTATTAGTAGTAGTATTATTATTATTATAATTGCTAAACTCTGACTCTTGGCCCCTTCTGGATGTTGACTACTCTTCCAACTATGGGGGAGTCCTCCTCCTCCTCCTCTCTTCTCCCTCTCTCCTTCTGGCCCTCACATTCTCCCGCCCTCTTCTCTCCTCCTCCTCCTCCTCCACTTCCCTCTTCTTCTTCTCACTCTCTCTCTCTCCTCTCTTTTCTTCCTTTCTCTCGTCTTCTCCTCCTCCTCCTCCTCCTCCCCTCTTCCTTCCTCACTGTGACAGGTCCCGCCGGGATATAATCCTGGGGTCCGCTCCCGCTGCTCGCTTCTCCACAAGGAAACGGCTGCAGCGGGCGGGAGAGCGGGCCAGGCCGGGCCGGGCCAGGGGAGAGCGGGCCAGGCCGGGCCGGGCCAGGGGAGAGCGGGCCAGGCCAGGCCAGGCCGGGCCGGGAGAGAGCAGGCCGGGCCGGGCGGGGGGAGAGCAGGCCAGGCCGGGCCGGGGGAGAGCGGGCCAGGCCGGGCCGGGGGAGAGCGGGTCAGGCCGGGCCGGGCCAGGGGAGAGCGGGCCAGGCCGGGCCGGGCCGGGCGGGGGGAGAGCGGGCCAGGCCGGGCCAGGTCGGGCCGGGGGAGAGCGGGCCGGAGCCCTTCCTCCTCCTCCTCCTCTCTCCTTCAGATTTAAAACGATCGAACAGTCGAGGTCAATCAAAGCTTTAAAGAAGCAAATGTATAAATAAATATATAATATATATATATATATATATATGTATAAACAAGGACGTCGCCGGGGAGGCGACTGTGCAGCTCGTGTGTGGTGTGTGTGTACCTTCGTCTCCTTTCACACGACGAGGAGGGGGAGAGGGGGGGCAGGAAAGTCCTGTCAGACTGACTGACTGACTGACTGACTAACGGTCACCAGCTGCTCGCGCTCTGACAGCCCGCGGCCGCGAGGGAGGGGGCGGGCGCTTCCCGCGCGGCCAATCCCATCCAATCGCCAAGCGGCTTCCACCCACCGTTCGCCTCCCAACCGGTCGCACGTCTGTCAGAGCCCTTCCGATTGGTTCCCCCCTCCTCCCCTCCTCCCGCCCCGCGCCCTCTCCCACAATCCATCGCCGGGCACCAAGATGGCGGCGCCCACGGCCACGAGTTTCCATCGCAGAAGCCGGAGTCAGACTGGTGGCGGCGGCGGCGGCGGTGGGGGGGCAACGGCAACGGCAACGGCGGCGTCTTTGCCCGGAACGCGCGCCTCAGTCCACAACGGGCAACTGCTCGTCTCAACCGGAGTGCCGTCCCTCGACTATATGTTAGGTCAGTCCGCTTCCCGGTCTGAGCCTTGAGTCCAGCTCTCCCCCCCCCCCCCCCCCCCCCGTGTTGCCATAACAATACGACAGCTTCACATTTAATATCTCCATATAATAATAATAATCATAATAATTCGGTCGCTCAACCCACGGCTGTTTGAGCAATCGGCTGCCGCGTTTCGCCCACAAAATACATCACAGTTCCATTCGCTTTACAGCCTATTCCGCGAAGCGCTCTGAGACGTCTCGGAGACGGGACGAGGCGCCGTGTCAGGCGCGAGGATTGCTGCACCGCCCTTCACGTTGGAGTAGCGTCTCAGAGCGCTGGATTTTGCGATACACTTTAAACTTGTCCGGCGCCTTTCGACAACAACTTGCGTTTACGTCGCGCCCTTCAGGCGGGTGGTGGGGGTGGGGGTGGGGGGGGGGGGTTAGCGTCCGGGAGCTCTTCACAGTCTGACACAGGTGGGGAGAACGCCCCAGACGCACTTGACAGTTTTGGATGGGTACTGGGAGGGAAGGGGAAGTACAAATGCAGTATTAATGAATACCACTATAATATTATTATTATTACCACTTGCATTTATCCTTCTCACAGTGCCTGATCCACTGGGACAGGTTGAAGCGGAAGCCGGTTTTTCTTCGCATGGACGAATCGGCAGCAAAAAACTGTTTCCACTTCAAACAGGCAGCTCATCAGCCAACAAAAATAAATGCGTGTTCCACAGAACCATCTGACTCTGCTGTCCTTATTAATAATAATAAAGTTTTTTCAATTGTAATTAAAAAAAAGGAACAAAATAACTATCAATTTGTGAGTGGTCTGGTTATATACTGATTTGGACGTGGACTGAAAAAATGGTCCTTGGATAGGGGAATCAACTCATTCATACAGGGTTAACTGGACACTGATTCATAATGTATCACGATGTGTTTGGTACTGTCCTAGTGTTTCAAAACTGAAAGCTTAGCAGGAAGTGAATCATCTGTTTGATGTGACATTCCGCGTCTGTGATTTGGAAGGAGTTGAGACATCCTTGTTGCTTCCGACAGAATTGTTATTGTTATTCTAACAATTGTTATTGTTATTCTAATAATTGTTATTGTTGTTCTAACAATAACGATTGTGCTACCTCTAAAGTCACATTTCTGGGTGTTTGGATTTCAGTTGTGAAATACCTAAGTGCTCCGAGACGCTGCCTTACGTGAAGGGCACCATATAAGTGCAGCTAGTTGTATCTTTTGGTAAAACAGATGTACAAATAATGTACACTTGGGCTTTGTTAATTTTCATGACTCTGTATATAAACATTTAAAGTAAAGCATGCCAGGTATTGAAAGGCATCTTTAAGAAAAAATGTTTAGTGATTATTTGGTGACCTTGATTAGGTGAACGAAATCCTTCATCGTAAAGTGAGACATGCACACTACACTGATCAAAGGTGATTCAACATTGCAGAAATATATTAGATGTCATTTAATAGCAATGATGTTATATTCTCTTGTGTTAACTAGCCAATGTTTTGGTACACCAGCATGTGTAACAAAGTTGGCAATAGATCCATTTTAAAAATATTAAAATGAATATTTTTGATTATGTTCTTTTATTAGTGCTTAGTCATGTAAGCTAGTGCATAACATTGTAAACTGCCTTTAAATGTTCAGTAATAATTTACTTTATATATTTTAATATATATATCATATATTATTTGAACTGAAATTACTTGTGAGTATAACATAGATTAGTATTGGTGAAGTGAAACTTAGAATTCTTTGATAAGAATCCAGTCAATAATTTTCATCAGTTCTAATGTGAGATGTATTAAATAATTAAAATAAACAAATACTATTCACAAAAATTACTGTTTCTGTTTCAGGAGGGGGACTAGCGGTTGGAACTCTTCTGCTCATTGGTAAGTGAAATGTTTTTGTAGCTCGCAGGTCTTTCAGTTATAAGTAGAGATTTTATTTAACCACTTGTTTTGTTTCATCAAATAACTGTTGTCTATTGTGTTAAATCCTGCAATGTGCTCCAGGGTGTAGAACTGGAGATGGTGGTTTTGTGTAGGATGGTGATTCTGAATGAGCAGGCACATTCCTTTTCACATCAGTGCTTTAACTTCCTGTGTGTGTTTATTTTCTGGTGTCAAAAGATGTGGCATGAGCTGTTGAATCAACTGTTTTACTGGTTGTAATATCGGACCACATCCTTACCACGTTATCATATTCTTACAACAGCCATTTCCAAAGCATAGAAATGCGATATTATAGAAACTAATTCTTTCTGAATTCAAGACTAAGTCTCCATATCTTCTTAACTGAAATGGACCAAGATGTATGTGGAATCCTATCCTACTTACAAAATCTGGTTACCAGTGGGATAATATAAAATCCAATTTAATTGAAGTGCAATGTAGCAGCATATTATCTTCTCATCCTCTATCTGCTTTAATACGAGGCTTGATTGGGGAACACCTTCACTGTCATCCAGATTCACAAAGTCTGAATTATTCTGTACCCAATAATAAGATGAATAAAATTGGATGAACACATTAGTTTTCAAAGAGTACCCTTGAAGCAGATGCATTTTGTTTGCAGTGCTTAAGTTTCTCATACATATTTGTTGAAGCATAAACTCTGTGTAATGTGTATGACTTTGCATTGAAGTTGGCAAATTTCATAATTAAAACTATCTTTTCCACACCAAAAGAAATCTTGTTCATTTAAAAACACACATATTACAATAATACGAATCAGTATTCTAAGCAGAGAAACATGTACTCTGGAAACATATTTACTGTGACACATGTTCATAGTATTTTATTTAAACAGATCAGATTTAGTTATTTTCAAAAGATGTATCTAATTTTGGCATGTAGCAGCAAATTACAGTAAAATTCCCTTAAAAGTGCCTGAAGGAGTGCTGCAGTAATTCCAGTATGCAAAAGTGGTATGAAGATTGTTTGTATATCAGAAAATTATGTTTTTTTTGTAGCTCTCCCTATTAAAATAATCTTTTTCTTTGAAATGTAATCTTTATTGAAGGAATTTGATCCTCTTTTCACTGACTGCGACAACTATGACTGAAAAATAATCATTACCAATTTGCCACGTGAAAGGTGTTATATAAATGTAACTTTGTTGTTGTTGTGATTGCTTGTAGGGAACAGTTTAGACAGTTGACTTTTCTAATACTATTGTTTTGGGATAGCAGATTATGCAAGTTACTTTATTGCAAGTCAATTGACCACAGCCCAGGAGTGCCACTGCTATGTTGTTTTCACATGGATGGCCAAAGCACACCTTGAATGATTTAACAATACATCGATTCCATGGATGATTGAATCTTAATGTTTGAAAACACGCCTGGTAGCTCTGACCACAACTTGAGTGATTATTTTGCTTTGCGATGCTTTTAATTTCACTGCCATGCATTGTCGCATCACTGGCATGTGAAATTGCTCAATCACATTAATGGTATTTTTTTTTAAAACTTTAACCTGTTTGACAAAAGGTAAAATTTTACATGGTTCTATTTGTCTCACTGTTTTGTCTCTGCTTCACTCCCTTTCCCTCATATCCTAAAGACAATTAGCTATTTTTTCCTTCTGTTTGGGCATGGCTCAACAGCCACTGAGCTCTCTGGAACCTTGCCGAGATGGTTATTGTGGGGTTGGGCAGTCTATTTGACTGGGTACCCAACAACCAAACCCAATTCTCTCTTGACCCAATGTCAACTCAAATACACCGTCCAGCAGTAATCACTGGCTAGCAATAAGCACTTAGGAGTGGGAGCGTTGGATGATTTCTGTTCATTCTCCCCACCACCACCACCACAGTAAATGAGTAAAAGTCATAATAAGTTCACTTTATGATTTCCTCTTCTCCCCAAAACTTTATGTGAAATTTTGAAAATGGGTCAGGCATATAAAATGATCCATGGAGCTTTTCCTCTTGTTCTAGAATAATGTTACAAATTGATGAGTGACCCCTAAATTGCCTCAGATTTTGTTATTGTTATGTTGTTATTCGAATGTGTTAAGAGCTCAGGTGTATTGCAGAAGGTCATGCAGTGCGATGTTCACCTATTCACAAAACTGACTTCCTCTTCAATCAATTCCACTAATGCTCAGATTAGTTTCTACGGAGGAATTGCTGATGCTTAAATTTCCAAATGCATTAACTGGTTAATTCAATCAACTAATAGTGAATCTGAGTGTTATTAAACTGTTAGTTTGCTTCAGTATTAAAATACCCCAGAGATGCCTGTATTCTTAGCTGGAATAGATCCTGATTGTAACATTTGAAAAACGTACATAAAATCAGAATTCTATGTATGTGCTTTTTGAAATGGGCCTTTTCTGAAATGATCGCAATGGATAAGTTGAGGATCAAGCCAAAACTTGTTACTCTGAAGGCTGTGTTGCTACTATGCTGTACCCATTTCACTCTCTCAGCCTTTTATCTTAGTATTCCTTTGTATAGCCCAAACCAGATTAATTATAAAGCACCTTAGCTGTTAATGAGGGGAAGCATGTGGTTATGCAAGTCAAATTGATGGAAGTTCTTGGGCTTGTTACTGCTATTGAATTCATTCTAGAGGTTGTAACCAAGTGCTCCAGGAAACTTACCTGCAATCAATAAACAATATGGCACACACTTAATGCAATGCAAGTACTATTACTACTGTTCCCTGTCCTCAAACCACTGTCCAAAATCTGTTGTATTCAGTGGATTGCAGCAATAATACTGAACCCACAGCTTAGGCTGGCTGAATAAATCTAAAATGATAAGTGAATATTCATCCTGTTCAAGACGAAAAGCAAACTCTGAACTATGTTTTTCTTGCCTTGTTGTTTGTACGGCACCGTTTTGATGCAAAAGCTCTCCACTGGTAAAAGCAGTAGTGTTTGAGGTTGGGAATAGCCGAGTGGATTTAATACTCAATCCTTATTTAAGGATTAAAACAATTAAGGTAAATCAGCTCGGAAAAGAAGTAAGCAGCTGCTCATGTGATAGAGAGCGTATTTAAAGCATCCTCTGACTCTTGACTACTCCATGTTAAAACCAAGGGAGTAATCTTAAAATAGTATTTACACATATTTTATGCAAGCAGGATAAGCATGTGCCTCGTGCAATGAAGTCCCCCAAAGCCTTGATGTTCAGCACTTGTCTTATATCTTCCTGGTTTTGTGTAAAGGTAAGTGAGCAAGACCTGGTAATTGGGAGGAGTACTGGATACGATCAGAATGATCTTCTGCCAACTAAATGTGTTCATTTTTTACAGGCCCTCTGACGCATGCACTGGATGTGGAAGTGCGTTTGATTTAGGGTTGAATTTGGGATTGCCAAGACTTAATAAATTGTGGGTTCAAGCCCTATATTGGGACTTGAAATTTACAACCCGAGTAAACACTCCAGTGCAGTACTAAGGGAGTACAGTGTTGTCAGAGATGCTGTCGTTCAGATGAGACAAACCTAGGTCCCATTTGCAAGGTTCAGTTGGACATTAAAGATATTCTGTCACAATACCAAAAAGAGAAGGGAATTTCTCTGCGTGTCTTGGCCCAGAGCAGACTAGCTTTTATTGAGTTATGTTCATGGCTTGTTACCAAAGACGTATTCTATGTGTACAATTCAACAATTTGCACTTATATAGCACCCCTCCCGAAGGATAGCGTCTCAGAGCGCTTAAATACCGATTGCATTCTCCCCTATCTAAAGTGTGTTACACCATAGTGCACAGCCTTGGAAGAAAATAGAATTGTAGAACATAAAGAAAGTGGTTATGTTACAAGGTTATGAGGTGAGGTCCCTACTGAGCACTAAAAGCTGTGTGAATGTTGCCAAGTGGCTTCTTTGACTTTGGTATACCAAACATTGGGTCACTTGATACTGAATTTAATATGTGCACGATTTAGATTTTGTTTCAGAGAACCACGTGTTGTGGAATGCTCTTTTATGTGCAGTACGCGGAACAGAAGTTTAGCTAATGTGCTGGAAGCAATTTATTCTCTGGCTTTAGGGAGAGAGCTTATAACTATCAGGACGCAGGCATCTAAAAGTGAGCCCACGCAGTTTGTTAAATCACAGCACTGGAAACGGATCATCAAAACGCTCCATCCATGTTATGTCACTGAACTTGGGCACAGCCCTAGATTGTGTTAGACCTCAGGTGTGTGGCGCAGGAATCTGGAAACTCAATGCAGCTAATGTTGCATAATGTTAAATTGATGTCATTAACCTCGCAAGCAAGCGTGCATCAACCATTATTTCTTGATTATTTCCTTTTAAGAATTAAATGATTTCTCCGTCTTTACACACATTTGAACTGGCTAATTTAACCCAGTGATAGTGGATTTGTATGTTATTTACATTCAGTTAATGCGTGTGGTCTCTTGAAATAGCGACACGTGGTACGTTTGGCAGCTGCAGGAAGTCATTTACTTTATTTTATAGAATAAAAAGCCTACCAGTTCTCCATCCGTGTTTATCTCTTTGAGATGGCCTTACTTTTACTGGCTTAAATTCCGCTGAAAGGTACTTTCCCTTTGTTTCCACTCTATGTTCAGCTTTAGTTAAAACTCTGCAGACCTCAGCTCAGAGGTTAGATGACCGTAAGCACTTTTGCAGTGCTGGTGAAGCTGGGAGCAGATGAATAAAATGCTGCGACTTGTCTCTCTCTTGTCTTCTGAAAAAAAGACAGGATTGCACTTGTAGAAGTGAAACACCAAAAATAGCTCATTTGTTGCAATTATGCATAAAGTGTAATGTCACATTGTACAATAATTTTTGTTTGCCCTGCAGGGACAGCCACACTTTTTTTTTGTTGGAGAAGTACAGTAAGTATCTACTCAAGTTTCAAGTAATGTGCTCCACAATTTGGACTACTGACTGACTTGGAGGTTAGAATTTTTTTGCCATTTTATTTAACTTCTGTGGGCTGATCTCAGCCTACCACACAGACAGTTAAGTATTGTTTTACTGCATTTCACATAAGGTTATATAAGCTTTTAAGACAAACCCTCAATAAAACTGAGCAAATCATAATCCACTAAAATTATCAGTAAATGTTGCTTCATTGAATAGCTACCATTTTTCTAACTTTATTTCAGTTATTACTGTCACACCTAGAGCTACCGCTACCAATAATCCATTGAATTTGCTCATTTTGTCCCTGTCAAGGCCAAATTATTATTCAGTGCAGTAATGGCATTGTTCCAGATATGTGCAGTATTTCCATGTGCTGCCACATCCCATTTTCACTTGTTGGCTTCCTTGGTTGCTGGACTGGATTGCTGTTTACAGGCACACATTACTGCATCATTAGGCATATATCCTTCCCTGTGATACACCCCCTAGTTGGCTGCTTACAGATGTTGATGAATAATTGTTCAGAACTTGGGTAGTCAGTGGAAGCCTTGATATGTGCGTGCACCAAAGTCACTGCAGCATATGACTCTGTCAATAAATTGCATTTACAGATCTCCAGAGTACTACAATATTTGTTTTATAATTTATTTTTAATATGGTGGACAGCTGTTCTTCCACTAGACCTACTCTGGAGAGCCTGTTAAGAGGTGCATCAGGTTGGCTCATGCTGACTTCTGCATTAATGGGTCATTTTATTTTCCAGCCTAGTGGTAAATTGTTTTGTGTTTCAATCAATCCTTATCCCGATAGCCAGGGCTGAGATTAAAATTATGTTGGGCAAATCAGGCAAGAATATGCATTCTCCAATTCTGTTCAATTACCATTAACAGAATAGAAGCATTAACTTTTTTTTCACAAGGAAATTCATTTGAGAGTTTTGAGCAAATATAATGATGTGAAAATAGTTTGAAAATAATCACTGTGAGCAGTGAACAGTGGCATCACAGCCCGTGACTATCCATTTCTAAGTCAAATGACCTGATTTATAGGTAACCACACCACAGTATTTAACACACAAACGTACCTACAGTTAATTGTTTGCTTCTAGTTTGTGTTTAGATGCTCTGTCATTAGTTCCATGAATAAATTGCTCTTAAATAGCCCTGACCACTGAACTAATCCTTTAATCCTTTCCCACCTGTTTTGCAGCATGTCTTTTAACCTTTTCCTTCAGTTAATTGCCTGCAGATAATATAAAACCTGTCTCATTTTCTCAGATATCCCCTTTACTGTATTTTAGTTCAGTTTCCCCCTGTTTACCTGACTACTTAATGTCTTAGCTGATTGAATATCATAAATATCAGAGGCAAAAGTTTATTTGCTAGTAAGAGGGCTTCACTGAAATTAATGGAATGATGATCTCAGACCAGTTTAACACATGTATTGTTAAATCTCCATCAGCAGTAGAACTCTGAGTCAGATTTAATATAGTGGCATAAAGTGTTTTTTAATAATGCTGTATTGGGGTCAGTTTCCACAAGTGATTCAAATTTGACCTGTTGAAGTGTCGGGGGAGGGGGGAATAGGGTAGACAAGCCTGGTCCTCATCTCACCAAAATCATACAGTGCTTTCCAGCAGGAGTCACTGGATATGGGTTGTTTTATTTCCCTATAAATGAGCTCAGCACAGAACAAGGATCAAACCTTGGACTTTCCTGGATGGCATGGCATGTGGCTGTAGCTTCACCAGTCCCAGCTAAAGAAATCAAACCAGCCACAACCAGCAAATGTTAAACAGAATTAAGCAAATGATAATTACTGGGTTTTAATGAAATTCCTCCTGTTGAGCTTTTCCCGGATTCCCCCGAACAATTCATAACTCATACAGTTCAGTAGAAATTATTTAAGACAGCCATTGACTCTTTAAAAGCAACTGTTGTTTCGTTGAAAGGAATATCTTCAGTGTAAGTCAGCCTGAGGAAAGGGACTACAGTAGTGGCCTCTAACCTGAAAATGTGTCAGACTCTTGCAGCGGCTTTCAGTTGTGATTTGCTATTGTTAACTTTGAAAAGGCCTGAAAGAATAACATCTGGGGGCTCACTTGGTCCTCTGATTTCTAGGTCATTAAACCTTTTTTAAATTCAATTACTAATAGACAATTCAAAAAATGACAAATTGTAGAGCTGTCAGCTTCTTTACAGAAGCAGCTGACAGTCATCAAAAATATTGTCAGTGTGTTTTGCGATTTTTTTTTGTGTTTAAGATTGTCTGAGTTGATTGTTAACCTTTTCAACACTGAAAGCCGTGTTCTGTCAGTTTCTCTGAAAAAAATGTTTCGGGTTTATTCCACGAATATCATAAATTAGATGTTCTGTGTGTTCTGTTTTTCCTTCCTTCTGTACTCACATTTATTTGTTCGCCCACAAATATACAGTCAATTCACTTTACAGTGTGTACTGTGAAGCGCTTTGGGACGTCCTCCCGACGTGAAAAGCGCTATATCAAATGCGAGGATTATTATTATTATTATTATTACTCCACAAATTCAACAGTAAAATGTTTGGCTTTCTGAATTTCTACGTAGTTATTCGTTGCAAGAGGCAGGAGAAAATTAACCTAATTTTAAATGATTGAGGGAATTTGTTGCAGACGGGGAAACTTATCACAGATATCTACAATAATGAGAGTGGGATCCAATTTTATATCGCCAAATTTACTGACCTAATAATTCAGCAAGTGGATAGGTTGCAAGCGAGTTATGGTGAGTGCCATAAGTGGTATATAAATCATATGCTGTGTCTCATCATCATGTATGTTTTTTATATTACCTGTTGGGTGAGTAAAATTCTAACATAAGCTGTGAAACAGTCGCTCCCAAATTGGGAATAGTCTACCCAGGAATTACATGATTGTTTTGTACTGCAATTTTCATGGCATTCTTATCCATTGATAATTCTTTGAAGTACTTCCTTAAAAGTTGCTGTCTGTGATTATTTCCGCAGAGGAGGATAAGTACGAGAGCTACTCGTGGATGTTGCTGAAGTATTTTTTAGCAGAAGGCGTTGTTTGCGGCCACTCTCTCTACATAGCGTCTGCCAGAGATCACCCAGAGGATATAATACAGGTACAGACCGGGCAGGTGGATTCTATGGGAAATTATTTTACTGCCCCTATGTTGTGTTGTTCACTGTCTGCAAATGGTGCTCATTACAATCATCTGGCAACCTTGAAACCGCTCCCTTTGATTTCTAATCACAGTGAAATTTGTCATCCTAACAAAAGTGAATACAGTTGTTTCTCTATGTGACGAGAGTATGAAATGATTCATTCGGTCAGTGTTTTTAACATAGCAAGCCTTCTTTGCCTTTTTATTGCTAACACAGGAGGTGGAGGAACATGCCATTGCTGATAAGTAAGGGCAGATTCCTAAAGACTGCAATATTCAAAAGCCTACATTGCTCTGCTACATATATAGGTCACCATAATACTGCAATGATGGATTTATTGTGGAAGATGTACTTGAAAAACTGACACAATGGTGAGACATAGAATATTATACACCACCTGTGACACATGTCTCTGTATCTTCACTCCAGTGATAATACTCTAATAGCAATTAAAAGGCAAAATAATTGGAGTCAAAGGCTACTTAATCCCAGCAAAATGATCAGATGAACCGTTCTGTCACATTGTACCAATCAGTACATTGTAAGGTTTTAAACAATTTTTGCTGTTCCACAATATGATTTTGACAGCCCTCGTGCCTGATCAATTATCCATCCATAGTACACTCAGTAATTTTTCTGTCATTTGTTTAGAGCATGTAAAACATGCGTAGCTATTTGAGATTACTGCAATTAATATTTTAAAAAAGGACACCCCTGTAATAGGCTAAATATAGCTCTCCAGATCACATATCAAGGTGGTTGGGTGCTCACAATTGGATTTCCTACTTGAGGATGCAGCCCCCCATTTAAAGTATCGATTATTTTAACTAATGTATAAATGACACAGTAGCTTTAAACCTGTTGACAATACAAATAGATTTTGCTGCACGATCTTGTATAACTTCAGGTTCAGTGTCACGCAAGTCATTATAAATCTTGTATCTCATCACCTCAGCTTTTGCAGTTACTAGTAGTGATAATACTATAAAAAGTATACCTTTAAGTAATGTACACCTATTTGTGTACTTTGTATAAAATAATATCTGAATGAATTGATATTAGGATTATCACATCACTTTTCTTGGACACTTCTGATTAACAAACTGACTCAATCTTTAAAATACAGTCTAGTGAATCATGGTCTGGGTCTGTTACGTTTGCTCTGTGAATAAGGTAAAAGTTAGTTAGATATTCATTATATTAATGGTCCAAATAAACTGGTCATTTAGGGTCCAAATAAACTGGTCATTTAGAAGTCTTTCAAGAATTCATTACTGAGAAGCTAAACGTGGATACTTGTGCAGATCAAAGTACTTTTCTCAGGTAGTCCTGCTTATGAAGTTTGGATTATCCTAACTGATAATAAGGCAGCGATGGAAGTTTAGCTGCTACATTATATAAGCCTTTTCTCCTTCATTGTGGAACAGAATAGAGTGGTATGTGGTGCCTTGCCTGGTCTAAATGCACGAGCAATTAAACTGTCTTAGGAGGGTGTGAGGTTAAGCCTCATTAACTGTGGGCTGGGGGTATCTTGGGTTCTATTACACTCTGGAGAATTGCACTTGTAAGAAGGCTCGGATTGTTAGTGTCTCTTTGTGCTTTCCTTTTCTGCCCAAACAAAATGATGTAAGCAATTTAGCATATGAACGCAGATGGACAATGAATATAAATAGTGTGTAATTGCTAGTAGGTTATCGGGTTTCAAATAAAGAGATTGCAAGATGACTTTTTTCCTCCACTGTACTTCTCACTAGTTAATATTTGGGGAGAGGGTGTTGTTTAATCTGAATCGTACTGACTAATCTATTTTGTCATAATTAATAAGACTACTTTTATTGTCAGTATCTCAAATTATTATTTTAATTAATGTTGTCATTTGAAGCATGATGTGAAGGGTGAGCTCAGGGGATTACATTTTCCAGCAAAAAAATCTCTTATCTTTGAATCTTGTTTGTTATAAACTTTCCTTTCTTTGCACTTTTTTTGATGGGGACCGCATAAAAATTTGATGCATTTTGATCAGATGGCCAGGTCAGCAACACATTAAACTTAAACAATTAATTTTTTTTAAAAAATAAGGAAAAGTTACCACGGATCAACGAACAAGTGCGAAGTAGCACAGAGTCTAAAAAAAAGTAAATGAATATACTGTTTGTTGGAGAAAAGGGCTTGCACCAAAACCACTGTTTCCCATGGGGGGAATGTTTGATTCATCCCTATTATTACATTGAAAGTGACTGCTGTGAAATAGTTAATCCACTCCTAAGGTTTCTTACCCACCAATGGCACAGCCGTTTGCCCCACGTCAGTGCAGTACAAGCAGACAGCAAACAGGTGTCACTGATTATGTCAGTTGCAAATCTACAACAATGACCAGCCCAGGGAGTTAGGTGAGCGCTTAGATAGGAATTACCCTAATGATCTTTGTCAGCAAACTGATCTGCAAGGATCACTTGATTGGCCTTGGGATAATCGAGCTTAATGAAGATAACTCTGCCTGCAAAAAAGCGTTGCAGGTGTTAATTTGAGGTGTTACTTAAATGGCAATCAATTGTTTTTGTTTCTAATCCGTTATAGGTGAGCCGAAACCCCCGAGAAGTTACTTTGCCTATTTCAATTTACAGGATGTACCAAGCAAGATAAAATCAATGCTTTACAGCGTCTCGGTTCTAATAATTTACCAACTAAATAGTTGCCCTCATTCCACTGTCAGGACTTGGATGTCTGGTAAAGATAAACAACAACAAATTATATTTCTAAAGCTCCTTTCACGTCGTGAGGACGTCCCAAGGCGCTGGACATTCAGGGATTTGGATTCACCATTCAGAAGATGCTGTACCCTTATTTTTGACGATAAAACTTAGAGCTGTCTGTACCTTCTTTAATTTTTACTTTTGCTTGTACTTGAGTAATCCAAGTCTATTTACAGATCCAAATACATGTAATTTCTCTCCTCTGGGTTTGAACAGGAGCTTCCTGCCCCTCTGCTCGATGATGTTGCTCAGAGCACGTTAGAGGAAGAATCGGGGAATGTAAATAGTTTTGCCACTGCCTCCCAGAATTCTATGAAAATAGCATGGCGATATCAGAACCTACCTAAAGTACAGGTACAGTAATATCTCGGTGGGAATACTAACTGTATTTGACTGCCACATACATTGACGAATACAATTTATGTTTACATGGCGCTTTTCACGTCGGAAGGATGTCTCAGAGCAAAGAATGAATGGATAAAAAGTAAACATGCAGTTCTTTTGAACATATTCAGCAACAGAATAAAATGGGGACTAATTATGATATATTTTTCAGTTCGAAAAAGCATAACTGCATTGTTTCGTAACATGAAATATTAAAAAGTTTGGCGTTATTTCTTGCATGGTTTGTGTGGCAGATATTTTTTTCATGCAGCAATAGTCATTTAAAAACTTTGAGCTAAAATTGTTCTGATTGTAATTTATTCTTCACTCAGGCTAACCTTAAAAATGGAAAAATAATTTTTATGCCATGATTTTAATCATTTCTAAAGGTCACCTTGCTTTATGCGGGTAGATCTGATCACATTTTGTACATCAGCACTATCTTATATGTGAAGATTCAATCTGACATGGCAACCACAAGTCCGGATATTTTGTTGCTCAACTGTAAATCCCTTATTAACATAGGAACATTTAATTCCTAATTGATGCAAAAGGCAACTCTTTCAGGGCCAGCAGATCTAGGTTGTCAAAAGAATTGTGCTTTTGTTCTCCTTTGGGACATTTTTGAAATACCGAGTTATCATTTGAATGGTGGTGAGTTATTCGTTGCACTAAAACCAACTGGTTCTACTCTCTCGCCCACACAATACACAGTCGCACCGATTTTCAGCAATATCCTGTGAAGAACTTTGACACATCTTAACAACATGATAAGTCGTTATATCAAATGCAGGGATTATTATTAACAATATCTGTGTGTTGATGTTGTGAAGATGGCGAAACACACATTGCTCTCCGGAGCAGAGTGTCTGGAAGTTTTAAAGCACAAAACGCATCAACTCGGGTGGATTGAGAGGCACCAGTAAATGTGCAGATGCATTGCTTTAAAATGTAAGGTTATGTGACAGCAGACTGCTTCAAACTGCTGGAACCAACAGCTTCTTTGAATGCTTGGGGGCAAAAGGAAGGCAGCGTGTTAAAGAGGCTAATGTGTTCCACACACTTGAATTAATCATTTAATTTCACTTTACAGTGCATTGTGTTAATAGAAGGGGCTAAATAAACTAGAGTATGTGATGGGTAAGCAATCCTACAAGATCATAGATCAGGAAATGAAAAGCCATTATGTTTGCAACCGACCTCTAGAATGGGGCAGAAAACAAAGCCCGACTTTCACAAATGTGTAAAATTCAGGCTGAGAGAGGGAGCCTTTTCTTTATTATAGTATTCATAAGACAAACTTGTAATTTGTTCCCAAGATCACATTTCATCGCTAGTTTGCTTTGGCTTGAGTCCATTTCACAGTGTGAAGCTACTGGTGCAGAGGAGTGCCCCATTCAAATGGAAATTGCTTCTGGTTTTTGATGTATAACCATGTAAAACCACTTCCCAATCAGATCTTGTTTATTTAGTGCTATTAATACAACAATGCATAAAAGACTAAAATAAAATGTTTAATTCATGCGTATAAATAAACAACATTAGACCGTGCACATCAAAATATATTAACCTTCCAGGCTCTGACTCCATTTGCCCTCAGCACTCAAAGGATGACGGGTAATTCAGTAGGGTTCCAGTGTTCTTCAAGTGCATAATGGAATGTATTAAGTGCAATCTTAAAATGTTGAAACAAATGTGTTTCCTCTGAATTGTCTCATCTTCCCAAATATTACAAAATGAGAGATCCGCACACTTTTCAGCAACACCCTGTTGTGCTTTAAGACTGTTAAAGCTTTGTGTTTTCCTACCCTTTTCTAAAGATCCAACTCTTTGCTGTCGTATGGTCACACAGGCAGCAGCCAAGTGTTCAGACAGTGAGTGTTGCTGAGCTATTGGAGGGTGGAAGGAAATGCACATTGCAGTCAGATTTGACCGTCCTTGCTATGTACCTTATAACTGCGAGTAGTGGTCAACCTGCCTGATTTTTCAACGCCCTCTCCCCTCACTGATGCCAACTTTAGCACCTAAACATCTGCCCTGCCTGAGATCAGATAACTCAGCAAAGATCAAGATTTGAGCTTGCAACCTTTGCGTTTGCAAGGAGATTTAAAGTGTGCAAGGTGCAAACATTTCTGTGTTTTATTTTAAATACATTGGTGCTAACTGTATTCATTTTTCTCTCACTTTGAGTCCATTAAGAAAGTTGAATATTTTCAAAATCTTATTATTTAAAGGTAACTGTCTCCTGAAAGGTGTGTGTGTGTGTATATATATATATATATATACATACACACACAAGTGATGGATTAAAATTATGGGAACTGTATTAGCGTTTTGCATTTGTTCTATTGAAAAAATCTACATTTTGCCACAAGACAACAATAATGAATAGGATAAAGCTGAACAAGAGTTGACAGAGATAGTATGATCTGTCAATTGGAAAGCACTGAATCAAGCAATTGGCTTGCTTATCCATGTGCTAAATGAGTAAAGAAAGCACTTGAGAATGTATCAGCTTCATTGTCATAGCAATCTAATCATTGTGAAGTTAACATACAAGTGACATAAAATGACCGGAGGCTCAAAAGCCCCCTCAAGGCCCACAAACCAGTTGTTCCATGCTTGTGAGTCCCAGTCATTTCTACAGATTGTTGCACAAATCTGGAAGGATGTCATGGTTTAAAATTTAAATAAGGTCTTGAGACGTGAATGATTTATTGGCATTACAGCAACATTGTGCAATTTCTTGTGGATAGTAATCCAATACTAGGGGGGCGAAATATGTCCGCTAGCAGTATACTCTGCAGGAGTTTGTCAAAGGCTACAAAAAAAAGTCCCTTTATCCAAGGTTACTAAAATAACTGCAATTCATCTGTAAACAAAATTGTGGGATGCAAAAGCTTCTCAATGACATGTTTGTGTACTTGGGGCAATGTATAAGCTGTCACAGCATGAAATCAATTTTCTGCCTAGGTTCATCTTGAATCTGAGATTTCTAACACATTAGTGTTGCAATTAGAAACATTTAGCAGCAAGCAGACTGAAAGCCAGCAGTCTGCTATCTGACAGTTTCTGCCTGTTCCTCTTCATTCAGCCTATCCGTGCTCGAGCGAGGAGAGCACAAGCCCTCGTAGCCTTAGATAATAAATTTATCAACTTCGCAACTTCTGAGGAAAGAAAGGCTTTACCCAGGCCATTCAACCAAGGCAGATTATTCACACTTAGTTGGTTCAGGTAGGCCTTTGCAAGCTTCCCACTGGGCCTGGGAATTTGTAAAAGCGAGGGCTATTCACAATTCTCTGACACACACCATGCTTTTATTACATACTGTTTTATTATAGTGAGATCTCAGTCTCCACCCAGCTTGTCGAAGCAATACTCTTTCTTGTGAATTAAAAAAAAGGTTATCCCCCACCTTAATCCATATTGCAGTGTGGATTAACGACACCAGCGTGCCCTGAGATCCTCTACGTGGACCCTGGAAACTACTTGTTTCTTCTCTTTGCTGTCTTACAAAATACGACTGGGCCTCAGTGAGGATTTGCATCTGAAATGGACTACCTGGTGCTTTCCTGAATGAAGACATCAGATCAAAGTTCAGTTAGTCAAGGCCTTGCTAAAATGTTAAGGAGACTAGGATGTACACAATGAAAAGATGAGCTCTAGCAGAGATTGCAATGAAAACATTTGTGGTGGGTAATCCGGATAAGGACTAGATTATACAGACTGAAGAATAGCCCGGTCTAAATAGTTTTGGGGATGTGTAGAGAGGTGTAAGTTCACTCTCGCCAAATATTCCCGTACAACATCAACTCTGTAATAGATCTGTTTTTATTCTCTATTTACACCCTGAGGCCGAGGTGAATCCAGTACTAAGGAGAATATTCTTTTTTTAAAAAAACCTACTCATTAAAAACTCCACAAAAAAGTAAATGTTTCAAAATCCAAATTCATTTGTGCTGTGCTGCTGTTTTTCTATTGTTGTCTATTCCTAGAAGAAATAAAATCCAACAACAACAACAGAAATGACATTTGTATCGCCCTTTCACGTCGGGAGGATGTCCCAAATCTAAACCGTTATGAGGGGCTGTAATAATACGGAGCAATTCTCATCAACAAATAAAAGTTTTATTCTTATTTTTCTAAAGCGATAAATTTTATGCTATTTAGTATTGAGACCTCAAATATCAGTTTTCAGTTACCTTGATGGTCAGGAATTTTATTTTAAGTTAGTGTTCATCTTTCGCTGTGGTTTCTTCAACAGTGAATTCTCTTCTAATGGGAAATGCCCTCCAGCAATGGGTTTTATTGTTGAATAATAATAATAATCCTTGCATTTGTATAGTGCCTGATCACGACATTGAGACGTCTCAAAGCATTTCACAAAATATATTGTTTAGTGAATTTACTGTGTTATTTTGTGGGTGAAATCAGCAGCCAATTACGCACAGCAGTGTCCCACAAATTTTCGGGGATTGTGGGATCGTACTAGGAGCAATTTTAATTTGATTTCTATAACTTGACTATAATGTGTAGATAAATATTTCGCTTTTTTAAAAAAACGCAGTGTGATATTTACCTACAATTTAGTTCAGTGTCTATATAATCTGTGCAATTTGTATTTGACCAAACAAACCTTTTCATGTTCATTTGATAGACGGCCTTGGTGTGCTCCTCAAGATTCGGCCATTACTACGACGTGTCCAAAACAATGAGTGTGGAGCAGCAGCACTCTGTCAAATGTCACAGCTTCTTCCTGCCTGATGAAGTTCCTCTAGAATTCGACGTGACTAAGACTGGGTAAGTCACTTCCCTGAACGTTGGAATGAAAATAGTGAATCTGTAAATATGCTCATTGGATGAGTGTTATGTTACGTTACTCTTTGGTGTTTCTCTTACTCACAATTTTTCTCCACCGATATTCTCCCTTCCTCTCTATCGGAAGACTTTTTTTTTACTCCTTTTGGAAAAAAATGAATAGAGAGTTTTTGGGGTGAATTAATCAATGTTCATTTAAAAAGTTGGCACCCAAGTCAGCAGTCTTTTCTTCTGTAATTGTCTTCTATGAGGATGTATAGTCGTGACTCCTGTCGACATTAGGTAGTTAGGCTATAGCTTGAGTGGATTGATATCGATGCACATATAAGTAATCTGATTAGCTCTACCAATGAGTTGTTTGATAAAAAAGAAGTGTGGAACACTTTATCATTTCAAGTGCTCCTTAAAATCGAGCAAAATTGATTTGAAGAACTCATGAAGGTTCGAGTGTAAATACAGCGCAACTCTCGGATTGTGTCTGTGCCTGACTATCTTTTTTATTTTCTGAGATTGGTATCCCATCTGCTGCTGCTTAGTGGCAATGTGACTCTCCTAACCCCTTTAAACCACTGCTAATACTTACAGGCTTTGACAACTTTTGCCAACTGGTCTTGGGAGATCAAACTCCCAATTCATTAGATCTTGAAGAAGGTGGAAGGGATTAGTTGAGAGGGGCAGGCATTGTTGGCAACAGATAACAATCAAATTGCTACTCAAAGGACCCACCAGTCCACATCTTGTTATACATTCTGATCAGCATGATACACAACTCAGTTTGCTTGTCCTAACCTGTCCATTCCGTCTGCTCAGCAGGCTCCGTCCTGCTCCCTACCCAGCCCGCCCCACCATGGGGGGTCAGGCCTTCAGCCTATCTGCCCCTACTCTTTGGAATTCCATCCCATAGTCCCTTTGCCTTCCTCCCTCTCTCGCCTCCTTCAAGGCATGTCTCAAGACCTTCCTCTTTGACCGCTATTTATTTATTCTATACGATCAAATGTACTTTCACACAGTTGTCATATGTTACCCCTTAGGTTGGTGACTGCCCTTTTTTTTGAGTACTTTTAGCTCCACGACCCACACCCTATAGACCAGCCCAAGCAAAATGTGATCCACTTAAGGGACAAGTGTAAAGAGTGTTCAGGCAAGCTCAAGTATCTCAAGAATGTAGTTACCCATAAGCATTAACACATTACCAATTGGCATCAATTTTAACCATCTTCCTCAGGAAGATTGCTGGGAGAGAAAAAGAACCTTTGTAGAGCAGCTGTTGCGCTTCCTGAATTGTGGGCATTACCCAGGTAGCATGGGCAAGCCTTGCACTTTAAGTGATCCCTGCCTTATTTAACATGTTAATATTTGCTGCTGTCATCGGATACTAAATGGAAACTGTTCTTTTTCTCCGGCAATGTCACTCTACATTGTGATCTACACGTCCAAACAAAACATCTTTGTGTAACAGTGGCAGATTGCTGCGTCTCATCAACGTTTGTGCTTTTAGTGAGAAAACATTCATTTGATAGAATCATTGTGATCATGTAAATGGATTCATCTGATTTATTGAAAAAATGTGCGTATTTTAGAAACGCAGCCTGACTGCCTGCCTTAGCGCGTTTGCTCCCATGTATTAACACTTGCAGCTTATTATGTAACGTAAGTCTCTGTGGAGAAGCAGGACGATAATGTAATAATGAAGGTGATAATTATTTAAAATGTATTAACATTTTTCATTTAGCAAAGTTTTTTTTGCATTTTATTTGCAAGATGTTAAGTTCGCCCAAATATATTCTGGGACTATTTGAGAGCAGTTAAGGTTCCTCAGCTGAAACTGCAACATATGAAATTCAAACAAATTTACGATTTTTGTTTATCAATACTGTGCAGTATGGAAGACGTTAGCGTACAACATTTTCTATCATGATTTCTTTATATGATTTTTATATATTGACATTTCTCAGTGAAACAAGTTACTCACTGATACCAGTTGTCTCTGGTACAACAAGGAACCTGTGAACCAAACCGCCAAGTCAACTTCCAATCTAAAGGTTATTCTCAGTACCTCAGTGTAGTTCAGGGAACATCTCTTACTCTTACTTACCTTGTGAATTATTAGGGCAACTTCAGTCAGAAAATCAATCACATTTCAATGGCTTCTATAAAATACCCATGTTTAATATCCAACAAAGCTGCAGTATTACCATCAACACAAATAATTAACAGTAGTTTAATAAAATGTTAATTATAAGAGCAGTATTCACTAATGCTTAATAAAAGCTGCTGTAACACTGCAATATTCAGCTAACAATATTTGTTAAACACAAAATCCACAACTATAATATTTGTTAATTGTTCATTGGTCAATAGTTTTCCTGAAAGTTGAACATGGAAGCCGTTATATTAATTATTTATAAGCTATTATTACCTGTTAATTACTTGTAGTTACCAATGCACTTAAATATTCCACAATAGATTGTAATCTCTCAATAAAATGAAGTACTCCTTTCCTGTACCAAGTACCTCCAACAAACAGACTAGTTATGAGTGATATTGTGAATCCCTGGAAATACATTTCTATGTTTCCTGATTTGACAGACCGGACAGACAACCATTAAAAAATATTTTGGTTGTTAGAACCTAAGTAAAAATAAATGTTTTCCAATTAATTGCCTTGACATGCACAGGATTTGCATGACCATAAACAATGTTAATCTTTATTCAACCAACACGCAGCCATGTGATTAGAATGATCTTTTTATCCCAACCTTTTAAATGTTCATAGCAAAATATAGAGCCAATACGCTAACACGAAACATATTAGTGATTCATTCTAGAATTGTGCTCTAGATTTGTGAAAGATAAATAAACCCATGACTCTGTATGAGGAAACTAATTCAATCAAGTTCAGAGCAAAGCCCAACTGTGTCCTTCGGCAGACATCCACATATGTGGCCATTCCAACAATAATTTACAATATATTCTGTAATGCGCTTTGAGACCTCTAGAAGATGTGAAAAGCGCTATATCAAATGCAAGGATTATTATATTATTATTATTATATAACAACTTGCATTTATGTAGCACTTGTGACTTCGGGAAACTTCTAGGAGGCCTGTAGAGTGGTGGGGATGGACGCTGAGCAAGGGGAAAGGGCTTACTGTATAGCGACTAGAAGTGGGAAAACTGGCTTGATGTATCATACTGTACACTTTGTATCACCAACATCCGAATTATTTGTATTTCTGAGTGTGAATGTGATGCTTTTACATGAATGCAATTCTCAGAATTGGCTGGCAGGCAGTGTTACAATTCCAGTCACACCCTTACATGGTGCCACTCAGCTGTTTTGAAGGTCAAGGCTCCATGCTTGACCTGGAAAAGTTAGTCCATTGCCCTCAATGAAGGTTTTTGCCCCTTCTTCCATCTTCAGGGCACGTGAAGCACCTTAAAATGTCTTCTTCGTAGAATACTGTTTATCAGGGGAAGGGGCTGTTTCAGACTGGGGACTTTCTACCTATCCCAGCCCCAGGCATCACTATTCATTACAGTGGTTCTGTATCTATATTTTATTGCATCTTTTGGTGTATTTATATAATCTCGTATATAATTTATTTCCGATAATCAGTACTGTTACCTGCTGGCTAAGCTATAGTCTCATAGCATAGCCCCTGCCCTCATTCTGGGTGCTGCATTTGATGGTTTATTTCATTTGGGGGAAAAAACAAAAAATAGACTTCTTTTTTGAAAAAAGAGCAGTTTTGATGACCCAAATAAACAGAAGGGAAGTTGTAATTAACAAATCACGAGTATGTGTTTCATTAAGTTTCTCAGCTCAGCAATCGACATGAAAATTAACATCTGAATGTGTGTGTTTTTTTTAATGTATCGTTGCATTGCTCAGCTCGAATTTCAAACGGCAATTGTTTGGAAATGTTTCAATTCGTGTTTTAATGCACAACAAAGCAGGATGCAATAAAGGAAAGGGAACAGGATGAAGGGGAGAGCTGTAAGTGGTTAGCTAGAACAGTGTGCTTTGGTCACTCTTTAAAAAGAAACCCGATTGTGTTTCAAATTAATGTGGAACACGGGTATTCATTATGACTCAAGGTCTAGATAAAGAAGGTTAAATCAGCTAAAATCTGCTTCCTAATGGGATCTACTTACAGATAATAACCCTATTTGTCATGCTCTTGATGGTCTAACTTTGGCAATTGCTTAGAAACTATATCAACAGGGAAGTCTAAAGCTTTACAGTTACCAGGATACCGTTCCTACCGACTGTTTTAGCAGATATCAGTTTGCTAAAAATAGAGAGTGTAACCATGATTTCAGTGGAAAAAGATTGTTCAGATAAAACAGATTGTATCGATGGCGAAAAACAAATACAAGAATAGCTGTGAACTTCCTGAAAATAAACCTAGATGTCTCACTGTAAAAACTTTATTGGTAACATTAATGCCACCAGGGTTTTCTTTGTTAAATTGGGTCTTGGATGAAGTGAATTTCTTCAGGATTTTAACTGGAAATTTAAATGGGTTTTGAAAGAGGTAATGACTTCTAGGAGTAGCTTAAATCTAGTTATTTTCTTGAAGGGAGGGAGGCATTGCATGAGGTATAATAATACTTAATTTGGCTTTGTGAATTTCATGGGGTTTCATGAGCTGTTTTTAATCCATTTGTTTTTTTTTCCCTACTGATATTGTCTGTCATGGCAGACACTTGCGCTCAGTGCATTTCATGCTGTCAATGCAGAATTTTATCATCACTAAAGGATTAAAAAGTGCCGCATTATCCATGCAAGATTACGATCCAATCTACAATTGATTACTAAGGAATACACAGTCAGTGTACACTTTCCTGCTTCACTCTGTAGGAATATCTGTATTGATTGTGATACTTAGTAAGTTGATGCTTTCCTCTGATGTGATGACATTTTATCGTTGAACAATAATTATCATAATACATTAATAAATTAACCAATAAATTAAATTAATAAATTAACAAATGAGACTTTCCATACGTATAGTGTGTTTATGTATGTGTGTAACATAATAATCCTTGCATTTGACGGAGCACTTTATCATGTTGAATTGGCTCAAAGCACTTTGCATAGGTCTTCTAACAAGTGTAGTGACTGTGTATGTGGAGTGGATAGCCCAGGAAGTGAATGACCATTTTTTTTTAAACTGGGGAATTGTTGGCTAGAAACTACCTTCTCTTTTCTAATCGTGCCATGGGATCTTTAAAGTGACCCTGAACAGACAGACGTTACCTGGGTTTTAACAATTCCATCTGAAGAACAGCATCTCTGACAAGACACTGCTCTTCCAGCATGTTACTGGAGTGTCAACCTACATGACATGTATATTTCATTGGAGTCCTGTAGCTCAGTGGTTAGAGCACTCGCCTTGCAAGCGAGACACCTGGGTTCAATTCCAGGCAGAGGGCGAAACCTTGGGCAAGTTTCCTCACTCCACACACCTAATAATAATCCCTCCAAAACAAAACAATAGTAAATTGGTCATTTTCAGTCCATGACTGTTTGTGTGGACGCTGCTGTGCGCAATTGGCTGCTGCGTTTCGCCCACAAATATACAGTCAATTCACTTTATAGTCTATTCTGTGAAGTGCTTTGAGACGTCGAGAAGACGTGAAAAGCGCTGTATCAAATGCAAGGATTATTATATTATTATTTCCTCTGTCTTGACCAAATAACTGTATGAAACCAAAGGGACAATGGAAGCATACTTCCTACTTGTTCACATTCTCCACAAAACCGTTTAGTCTGTGACATAAAACCCATTACCACCCAGGAAATGTGTCACTGCTGCAATCATCATCTGAATTTTTAGCTTCATTTTTATGCTCACAGAAAGTGTTACTCAAATCTCTGTTCTCTGGAGCAAAATAACAAATAGTGTACAACACTGAAAAGATCATTCTAGTTGTTTTAAAACACGAAGCCCACCAAATATTGCAGTCAATTCACTTTACAGTATACTCTATGAAGCACTTTGAGATGCTTCAGCGATGTGCTAAGGCTCTATCAAATGCAAGGATTATTATTGTTAAAGAAAGCTTGGCAATAAACTCTTACGTGAAAATGTAATATTCCATAACAGATTTAACTATGACATCAAATCATTTGTGAAACATAGGGTTTTTTCCACTCCGTGATTCTAAAGCTTGTCATTGTTTGCTTGTACATTACCAAATGTTTAAATTTGTTTGGCTTTGCAATTTACTGCATTTTCCTCCCCTCGAAATATCACCGTTGAACAATGCAAAAGACGGAAACTATTTTGGGTGGTTTGATTTGGATTTGAGGATTTTAAAGCAATCTGAGGAGAAGCAAAACAATTTATGGGAAGGATGTTTTTGTTAAAATTACAAATGTTGCACTCAGGTAAATAGGACTTTGATCAGGTGCGCCCAGTCTAGCAGTTCATTAACTATATGTTAATTATTGATGATTTAACACAGAAATGCTGTGGTGGTTTCATCTTTTAAGTTGCTTCATTAAATCATTAATTTTCTAGGAGGTAAGTGAGCCTGACATAATTGAGGCATCTTGGTCTCTACAGAATATTCCTTTCATATGGTGTCAGATCACTGAGGTAGTTAATAGAAGATAATCGCTGCTGAATCCCTGGGCAATTTTTATTTATATGACTGCTTTGAACTTAATTTATTAGGAGTTAAATGTTCATGTTTTTCTGAAAAGTGGCAAAGAAGCTTTTCGGAATGAGCCAGTGAATCGTGGTTGTTTTAGAATGATAACTCTCACAAGCAGGATTAACGCAATAACTCGTGGATTGATGATGGGGATATCCCATTTTGAGCAGTTCTGTGATGAGCATTAAGGCTGTTAATAGCTATCTGCTTTGTACAGAAATAACTCTCTGACTTTTTTTTTAGCCAGTCAATATTTTATGTTGTCGTGAAGATTTCAGCGTTCATTCATGTGTAATGGGGGGAAGCCCCTTTCCAAGCGTGATTAAAAAATTAATAATAATAATTATTTTGGCACCCAATCCATGACTGTTTGTGGGACACTGCTGTGCGCAATTGGCTGTCGTGTCTTGCCCAGAAAATATACAGTCAGTTCACTTTACAGTATTCTGTGAAGCGCTTTGAGACGTCTTGAACACGTGATAAGGCGCTGTATCAAATGCAAAGATTATTCTTATTATCATTTATTGGCAAACTGGCTGTGTGCTGATCAAGATTCAGCTGTCCTGGCATTCAATAAAAAGTTTGCAGATTAAGAAAAAAAAATCTCGTCCACGATAAGCTTGATTAAACATTACTGACGGCATTTTTGTTCAAGTAACGTGGAGAACAGTATGGAAAAAAAAATGTTTTTCACTGTTTGAATATCTGCAATTGTGCACTCGCTTTTCTTTAAAATAACTGAAGCTAACAATTTTGGGGGCTCACGTGTGTTTTGGTTTGTATAATAATAATAACACATTTCGCATTATTTTCCCGACAGTGATATGAACTTCGGGTACATCAAGCTGCTGAGATCCATCCAGAGTGTTGTCCGCAAGGAAGGATTTGATGGAGCTTGTCCCCAGGTATGGTTCACAAGCCCTTAGTGTCTTCTGTAATCAAGTAACTAATGTTTTCATGGAGCTCTCCAGGGTGCAGCCGGAAGGGCTTGGAATAATCAACAATGAACAAGCTGTTTCTAAGCACAGATGAAGTAAACAAGCGTTGCAAAGACAGAGTGTGGGTCATATGTTAATATGCATTTGCCTCACGTTTTGAGCTCCACTCAACTCTATTGCGTGGAGGCATTGAAGTGCATAAGCAGTGTGCTGTGGCATCATTAGTCACTGAGCACCTGAAAAGGAGCTGTCCAGCAGTGAAAGTGCTTCACCCCACCTTCACATTAAGCCACATTAGACTGTTTATGCAGCGGTTGTAATGAAACTATCTTCGTTGTGAAACTCCCAACCTCGAGAAAGCTGTGACAAGTAAAGCTTGGTTTGTTGGAGGGACAGAGCCAGCTATTTACAGTTTGTAAAAGGGCTGCGCAGTTAACACTACAATGGCATTAACTAGAGCAGGCTTAAGCTGAACCTCAAACTGGTGTGCGTGTGGGGTGGGGGCGGGCGGGGGGGGGACTTTATGATAACATTGGCCATTCAGAATAGTCGTGTGTTAATATAGCTTGTTATTGCTCAGCTCCCAATCTCTGCTGAGATTTCAGCACAGATCTGGACAGGCTGCCTTTCCCTGTGGAGGCAAATCCCCTTCGGAGAAGTAAATTGGTCCCTGACAGGCAGCTCTCCCCCTTCTCGGGTATAGCCATGGCAACAGGCATGTCATAACAGTTCCCACAGTACAGTGTGCTTAGCTGCTTCTGCAGCGAGATGACAGGTCTTCTAAAGCAGGGAATCTCACAGAAAGCAACAGCGTATTTGGTGATGTGACACACACACACCCTAAAAACCTTTCAACAAAGTCAGAGCTAATGGAACAGACTTGAACAATAAGGTTTATTTTTCATGGATTTTTTTTTTACCCCCCCTGCTCTCTCTCTCTCTCTCTCTCTCCCTTCTGACTGCTGAATATCGTTCCTTACTGTCGACAGAGTACATTTCAAATCTTTATCACCACCAGTTGTTCGTGAACAAAGAAGAAAAATTTAAACGTCGCTTTTTGTGTGTCTAAGCAACAGGTCTCGCCATGAAAGTAAAAAGTGTAGAATGTATTGAATGTGTCGGTGTTCATTCATGTCTAATGGGAGAAGCCCATGTCCAAGCATGATCAAAAAAATAATAAGAAGAATTTGGTCACTGCATCCACGACTGTTTGTGGGACACTGCCACATGCAATTGGATGTCGTGCTTTGCCCACAAAATATACAATCAATTCACTTTACAGTATATTCTGTGAAACGTTTTGAGACGTCTCAAATACGTGATAAGGCGCTATGTCAAATACAAGAATTATTGTTATAATTATTGGCAAACTGTCTGTCTGCTTATCAAGATTCAACTGTACCAGCATTCAATTGAAAGTTTGTAACTTAGGGAAAAAAACAATCTTGACCACGTTAAGCTTGATTAAACATTACCAATTGCATTTTGCATCAAATAACTGTTGCATATCATTCCTCTCCCAGTCACTTCGACAGAGTACATTTCAAATCTTTATCACCACCAGTTGTTTGTGAACAAAGAAGAAAAATTTACACATTGCTTTTTGTGTGTCTAAGCAACAGGTCTCGCCATGAAAGTAAAAAGTGTAGAATGTATTGACCCTTTTTTTTGGTAGCATGAATCGATTGTGATACCACAGGCAGCTTTTGTTAACAGGATCTTGGCCCAACCCAGCTGGAAGTCTAGCATACGCTGATCCTTTCTTGGCACTTTGCTAGCAGTTATGTCGGCTTTGCAATAGTGTAGCTCTTATTAAGGTCCTACTGCTATCCTTCCTTGTCGATATGCCAAGGAAACAAGCTGTTTTATGAGCCGTTAGGCAGCTGGAAAGCAAGTCCAGACAGAAACTTCAGAGCCTTGTCACCTGTCCAGAGCTGCTGTAGCTCACATAAGTTAGAATGAGAACCGGCTAGAAAGGGTGTCATTTATAAGCAAAGCCCTGCTGTTTTGTCACATTCATTTCCACCTTTCTGTCTGCAGACTAAACCGAGGAACATCCTGCGGATAGGAATCCATTCCCTTGGCTCGCTGCTGTGGGGCGAGGAGGTTGGGCTCAGTGAAAACCCTGAGCACTCGTGCAGCCTGACTAAATTTCTCTACGCACTGCGTGGCCTTCTCAGAACATCTCTCTCCACCTGCATTATCACTGTGCCTGGACATCTCACCCAGGTTAGACCGTTTTTAGAGGAATTATGCAGAACTCAGCCTCCACCGAAATGCCCTGCACTCATTTTGTAGCTGCAGCAAACCCCATTTATTTGGAACAGTGATGGGGACAATATTGGCACATTCTTCCTACTAGAATCCCTTGCGTTTGAGACTCTTCTGCCAGAATCAGTCAGTGAAATGTAAAGATTTTATTTGGAGTAGACTGGCATGGGTGCTACTCTGCCATTTCTGTGAAGCGTTTTGAGACGTCTAGAAGATGTGAAAAGCGCTATATCAAATGCAAGGATTATTATTATTATTTAGTACCATTTAAAATGTGAAGGGACAGGACAGACTAGTACAGGTACATGTTATTAATTCTGTACAAATCTGACCCCATTTCCTGTGCATCATGTGGTACAATGACAGATATAAACAAAATCAAATGAGACATTTTAATTCATTCTTCCACAATACAATTTCCCAATTGCACCATCAAGTAATTTCTTGACTTGCTGGTTCACATTCTGTCAAATTCTCTGCAATGAGGTGTCTTTAGCTACAGTCAAGTTGAATGTAGATGGTACATAATCTAACCCAAGTCAGGTTAGGAAGTAAATTGCCCTCTGGCTGGATAAAAGTACATTTTATGGACGGGTGGGGGAGAGAGAAGGGAAGAGAAAGCAAGCTACACGAGCACTAAATATTTATGTTCCTCTCGTGCTATGAAAATCAACCCATTATACAAAAAAACTTCCATGTAAGGTGGACATACATGCCATTTTTTTTTGCTGCAGGTAATTGAAACTTTTTTTTATTAATCCTATTAACACATTAATAAAGGAGCGAACACTTATAACTAATACGTTTAATGGGCACAGGAGACCTAATGTAGCGGATGATTATTGAGCACATTAATTTATTTAAAGTCCAGAGTGTTTCAGTAGTAGAATATGATTTAGATGTGTTGAAGGTAAATGGACTGTTCAGAAAGACGAGGAGCACCTGATCTTATTCGATAAAAATAGTCCATCAATTTTAAGACTGTGGAAAAAAAACATGCCATTATCACTGGCTTGATTGATAGCGAGTTTGTTTAATTAGGCAAACTTAAAACGAAGGCCCACAATCAAGACATGAAAACCATTCACTGTTGTGTCCAAAAGATCCAGAAAGACGTGTCAAGTCTCACTCTCAGTCCATTAACTTTTTTAAAAACAGTTTCTTATTGTCTTAGGTATGACTGCATCCTTGGGTGCAGACTGTAAATCTAAGCAATTAAAATCCAGCCGTTTCCAAACAAAGAGCTAAAGAAGGTAGCATTTGCTGGGATACAAACCTCTTATCTGCAAACAATTTCTTTACAAGTGCATTGGTCGAGAATGCGAGATGTATAAAGCAGTGTGTGGAGAGTTGAGATGAAGAGTTTTATTTCAGTTGAGCCTGAGATCCAAGTGCCAAGCGCTACAATTCAGTTGTAAATTCACTGCATGAGGACTGAAATGATGCTTCTTTTTTGTATTTGTGTATAATATGTCTCTTAGCATTATAAAAATGTGATGTGTATTTTTGAAATATTTTCCAAGGAGTTAGCTGTTGCTTATCGTACAATAAACTCGCAGCGATTCGATGAGTGACAGCCCTTAAGCCTTCAGTGTAGCAACCTCACACGTTGTGCACCAGTCCATCATCAGCATGTGGATGGACACAGGGCCACTGTTAAAAATAAGGGAACGCCCACTGTAATCTACTTCTGCCAGTCCAGCACAGGAAGATAGATCCCATTCTGTGGAGCAGATGCAATGAATGTGAACTCTTGGGTTGACATCACCCCGGCATGTCTGCTCCACACTTCCTCTGTGAAACGCAGACTTGACTGACCTTCACTCCAGTGAAGACTCTGCAAATGAAGGGCAAGAAAACAATTTCGCACTAGGGAGAAGCACAGTGAATAAGTGTCTGATTGAAAATAAGAGGCACCTGGTCCATGACCTTACAAGATGCAGTTGTACAGGAACCGGGTTGGCTCACACCTGGTGGGAACAAAGAACATTGAACATGATCTACTATTCTGTTGGATTATACAACTATGATTAACACACAGGGTGAGTTGGTCTGTGCAGTTTCAGGAAGGAAAACCATCCATAGGTAGTGACATTCATAATGGAACTCTGGAAACATTGCACTGGAGCAGGATCCAAGTCCTGTAGCAGATCTTATTCTCCTCCCAGGGCAAGGTTATGCATGTTTTTCTCTATTTGAAAAAAACCAAGGTGATTTTGATTCTGTACAAAATAACATGTTTTTTAGCTAACATATTCCTCTCACCCTGAGCAGAGTAGACCTTGTGCCAGAGGCTGGAGCTATTGTACTGAACTCCAATAATTCTGAAACTGACAGCCAGGCAATTGAAATGAATAAGCCTACCCCCACGAATCATAAATACTATATTGGCAGCCAATAAGCCTTGCACTGAGAAATGATATATTTACTTGTGGTGCTATGAATATGTGTCTATTAATTCTCAGGTTTTGCACTGATTATGTGGTCTATTGGATATTAGACCTCACTCAATTCCATTTTGAGTGTAAGGTTAGATATCATGACCTTCTGCCTTCGTGTGCTGTCAACATGGAATTTTTCAAGTTGCCTGAGATCCCTGTTTCATTATGGGATAGAAGCAAAAAGCAGGTCCCTACTTGCTCAATTTGTTAGTCCTGCAATATGCATCTGTAGAAGTTCCAATTTGAAGAATTGGAAATGTTGTAATAATTTCTGTTCACTCCCCCCTCCGACAGTTTCCCAAATAATCACAAACCTTCCCAACTAAAATGGAAAAAACGCTTGTGGTCTTAAATTAAATTAAAATAATGCAATTCAGCTTCATTATAAGGCAATTTTAGGAGATCGCGTGAGAGAAAAAGTGTACGAGCAAAACACTTTACAGGGCTTGTTTGAGCCTCCAGTATGCATAGCATATGTACTCTTTCAGAGGGGCAATTACTGCAGTAAGCATTTTCTTTTATGTTGAATAAGCCTTGTATACATCAGCTGATTCCTCCCGTTGTGTTTGACAGAACACACACGATAAAGTACCATTTCACTTAGTTCATTTCCTTCTGCACTTCTTGTCAGGCAGGAGGCATGTTTGGGTGATTTGTGCAAATAGATTCTATTCCCTCGGTTTTCCTTTTTTGCTTGAATTTTCAGTTTGCTTTCCATAAATTATTTGGGTGGAATGTTTGCACCATATGGTGGGTTTCACGGAAAATAGGGTGCAAAGATTCCCACGTTGACTTAACGTTTCAAACTTATTGAATCATTTAGAAATCATCTTGCAGGGGAGAAACAAAGAAGAGCCGTATTGATGGGAAGATAAGGGAAAAGGTTGACTTTGTTTTGTGTGCCCAGTGTTAGAAGGTTTTCAATGATAATGAACCTGGGATGTTAATAACACTCATTTTTAATTAGGAGAACATCTGTATCCTTCTACAGTACTGAAGCCCAACCTGTTGGCCACTGATCTCACATAAAACCACAAACAGCCCTGTTTTCATTTCATGTTTGACATCCTCTTCTTTGCAATGCCTTGCACACACCCTACTTTTTGAAGGCTTTTCTCCACAGTAGAAAACGAGAGAAAAGCATATTTTCTCCTGTAGTCCTTTCCCTCGACTAATTTAGGGCCAAGTAACTTGCTGCTCTTTTCCGTGTTTATCTGTCAAAAGAAGTCTAAAATTACCATTTTAAAAGTTCAGTGTGCTCGCGTGTGTTATGCTTGGTATAAATAGCAACTACAGATCTGAGTCATTTGGATATTTATTGCTCATTTATTATATAATCCAATTTACTTAACAGTATAAACTAGCTACGGGAATTACATTCTCCATGGTTCTGAATTTACTGTAGGTCAGTTTTGAATTTTTTTGATGGAACTATTATTGTAAATATAGAATATATTAGCATAAATCCTATTTAAAAATGTGAAAGTGGTGGTAGCCTTACGCATGCCATCATAAACAGTAAACACCTGATAACTCGTCACTCCAAGGGCAAAATTTTCAGAGATGGTTATCAACAGTGACAAGCTCAGCATACGTATGTATAAATACATAAATAAGTACGGCCACTGTAGCTAATATTTTCTTAGCCTTAATCTGTTGCAGTACTTATTATTGTGAAGCAAAAGTGCTGTTGTAGAAACCAACTCGAATCCTAATGCAGCACTTATTCCTTACCCTTGAGCTAGCACGAAGCCTGTTCAAAGCACGTCCAGTTTAGTCGTTATTGGTTGAGGGTATTCTCTAATAATTTGTAACAGTGTCATTTTGAATTCACATCTGTTCCTGAATATATAAAGCCAACAGTACTCTGTGTGAAAGACAAGACTTCGGATTGAGAACTTGCCACAAAACAACATGCTGTCTATCAATGTGACATTAGCAATAAGGTGATGAATTTCCTTGTAGCACCGCACTTCACAACAGACTTCAAGTCTGCCTCTGGGTGCACAAATTTAATTTGCCGCAAAACACAGCGACTACTTGGGGGGAAAGTGCTATACATCGTTTTCTATTTTCTGCACTAATCTGCGCTAATGTTACTTGTGCTAATTGAATATTATGTTTGGCAAAAAAAAAATCTTCATATCCTGAGGGTTTGCTGAACCTTGGTTTGCACTGCCAACTGGAACAGCCACCAAAGCCAAGAACAACGTCAGGCAGATTATGCTCCATCACTGAGAATTCACTAGATTTATAATTCAGTGGAGCCCTTTGAAAGGTGACACCGACCCCACCGTGTCTCCCGTGCAACATCGATGCACGTGGTTTCCCCAGAAGAGGTTCAGGCTCTCGTTGCGTGGTGCTGTACAGCACGTGCAACCGCTACAGGGTGCATCACACTGCAGCGGAAACAGGGCTCAGTAAAGATAATGGTACCTTGGTGTATACTGTTCCTGTAAAGGTTCCAGCAACAGGAATCCATGCAGGAGCAGCTGTCTGAGCATTGAGAGCAAACTA